CTTTTTCGTTTGAGAATCATCGCATTGGACCGTGATAGAGTAGATGCTATAGTAGAGCATGGCAGTCGAGGCCGCACTTTCGCATGCAACGTGCTCGAGCTTCGCCTGCAGAAAGTCACCTGCAGAAAAACATGTCATGTCGCTGAAGTGCCGCCGCCGCTGCCGCCGCCGAGCGCTGTAGCGGCGATGGGATAGGTAGCGATGCTCGAGAGGATACTGAGAGACCCAAAATGGGTGAGATACAAAAGCGTGATCAATTCAACCAGAATTCTCGGTCGATGATAGGTAATGATGTACACACAGGATGATGAGTGTGATGAGTGTGATGGACAAGAGACAAAGCGACAAACAGCAAGAACAGAAACAGTGCCAACAGAAAAAGTTCAACGTTCAACGATCCGCATCGGGTCTGCATCGCGTCCCACCTCCATAACGCACAGGTCCCACCAGGTCTCAATAAGGTCTCCTCTCTTCGGCGCCCGCCGACGACACCAAGCCGCCCCTACTCCCCCGTCCCTCAGTACCCACGTAGCCGAGACCGGTTCGATATCGATATGCATCGATAGACTCGGAGTAAACGCTCCCCACCCCCCCGACCAGATGGAACCGGTCCGGACCAGTCGCCGCACACAATCTCACTCGCATCGCCGCATCTCGGCCTGCACCGCGACGCATGTGGAAATTAAACCGTTTTAAAGTGGTACTCCGACCACTCACCGCGATAACCGGTATCGCGAATAGAATAGAGTAAATACAAGTGCCAGATGGCAAACTTCGGGCTCTTATCGTCTTGACTCTTCACGCTGGAGCTCGACTTCGAGCTCGCCGGCCTGGACGCAACTGAACTGCCGCACTAAGGATTCGGGCCGCCTCTGCTTCTGCTTCTGCTACTACACACTTCTGCGTATGTAGGTTATCTATGCCGTGCAGCGCACGCAATAATACATAGCCGTGTCGAGTGAGTAATCCAGACCAGACCAGTTCGGTGTTCTCCAGCTCCGCAGACGGCACAAGACACGGTTATCAGAGAAGCTATCAGAGAACGGACGAAAATGGGACGGACAGATAGGTAGGTGGTGCGGAGAAAGTTGAAACATGTGAATGTTTCCTTTTGGAAACGGATTCATCACGTTGTACATACGATGTACCTAAGGAGGTGATATCACCCATCTCCGGTAGCGAATATACCACCCTCCCCCATCCCCACCCCATCCCCGCCTCCAGGAGCCCGGGAAAAAAAGAAAAGAAAAAGAACCCTTATCAAGAGCTATCATCAGCTACAGCTACAGCTCGATACCGGCATTCTGGTCGGCATGTAAGGGCTCACCAGCTACATACTTACACTCCTCTACATACGGTACTCTAGCAAAGTCTACTCTGCATATGATTTCCGCGGGGGGGCGCGGAGTGGGGTGAAGATATTGCTTTTTCTTTTTCCATCTGCGGGGGGCGTGCGGGGCGTGCATCACGCAGTCTGCACAGTGGGCGATAAGCGCCGGGGCCGAGACGAATTCGCCGCCGCCGCCGGATACGAGGTTCGGATACGGGGTTCGGCATGTACGAACAGAGCAGAGGAGAGAAGAGAAGACCACCATGGCGATGTCAAGGACTTGCCCGGATCCGTGAGAATGTTGGGGGATTTGTAGATACTGCCGCTGCTGCTGAAACAAACGTGTCAGAAGTCGGGAATACCGCGCCATCTTCCAGTCCTGATTCATAGGTATTTCATCTTACCTCCTGTGTAGGGGGACCTGGGTTCCTCACCGTACGTTTTGCTTGCTGGCTTCTCTCGCCTCCACAGCCGGCGGCAGCGTAAGGCGTGTCACGTGACATATTTACCGAGTGATATCTAACCAGTGCTCCCTCCTTGCGTCACCACGCCAAAAACAAAAACCGTCACCACCCCTGATATTTGAAGGGTCGTTCTGCTGGCTGGTGAGGGGAACTCTCGACCCCTTTGAAGGAAAGCACTAGGGCTCCTTCTTTGTAACACACACTCTACTTACCTTCCTCCTTTCTCTTCCCATTCCTCTTCCTCTTCCTCTTCCTTACAATCACCACCACCACCGGCCTTGGGCAACAAAAAAGAAAAGAGCCATCCTCGCGCAGCTCCTAGGACCACCACACCACCAGCGCGGCACGGATCGGAAAGCCATACATGATCAACATTCGTCCATACGCCACATCTTGGTTTCAATACCTTGGCAGTGACAACGTGGGCTGATGCAAATTGGGAACCTGGGGACCAACTGGACACACCAACCGGACAACGCACGCGGCGGATACCAACGGACCCAGCAGCAGTCAGCAGTCAGGGAACTGTGTGGGGAGGGAGTGCGGACGTAAAGCAGGCCGCACAGCAGATCAGCAAACTCAATAAACTCAACAAACGGGATCACGTACCCGCGACCTCAGCAACCTCAGCAACCTCAGCAACCTCAGCACGACGGATCAACAAATGCAGCAGATATACTGGACCAGTACTGAGCAGCAACACGACTGGGTATCTGGATACCATCACGATCAATGGACGTATAGCAAAAATGCACCCTTTCATCACGCTGAGGTTTTCTATGCTCTGGTTATGGGGGGCGCGAGCGCACGCAGATATGCCGGCTTTCGGGGGAACGTATGTAGTAGACTGTAGCATCGTGTATAGAAACGATTCGGCCAAATGGCTGGTCACAAACATCGGGAGAAACAATTGCCTAAGCACGTAGCCTGCTGCGTTGGTAGCGCTTCGGCCGCTTTCACCCCACTATATTCCGTGGGAACGACGTCAGTCGGATCCTTGCCGTACGTTTTGCTTTCTCCCTTCCCTCGCCCCACAGCCGGCAGCGTAAAGCATGTCACGTGACAATTCCTACCGAGTGATATCTAACCAGTGCTCTCCGCCACGACGCCAAAAACAAAAAACTATCACCACCCCCGGCGGGTGGCTTGGAAACCCCAAGAGCTGAATACATAAGGCATTTACCCGGTTTTGAACCGGGGACTTTCCCTCAACTCCCCTCGTCGATTGCGTGGCCCTTGACCACTGGACCACGCGGGGTTTTTTCCGTTCTAGATACAGGAATTTGATGGTTATAAAGTGGTTGGTGCCAGCCCCCGCGAAGGAGAAGCCCCGGCGCCACAACGCTGTCTGCGTTTGAAACGAACAATAAAGACAGCACGCCTATCCATTGCAAATGCACCATTGCCGCATGTCTTGTAAATACCCTAGACCCAAGGCTATCCGTGCAAGCAACCCGTCACGACGGTCCACGAGCCGTAGGTACTCCACCTACTCGTATGCGTAACCCAAAGACAGACAGCTAGGCGCCCCATCATTCAGACTCGGGGAATTCTACCGTTGAGGTCTGCCGGATATGGATACTGGAAAGACAATAAAGGAAGGTGGCGGGTGCCAACTGCCCACTCCTACCTGCGCTGGACAGTAGGCACGGTGTATGTCCATTGATCGGCCACACCGCTCATCTGACCTGGTTCGTGCTCTGCATGCGATATCACTCGTTTTTCTGCAAGGAGTGGGATTTTCAAAGTCTGCGTGGCACCGCAGGAGTATTCGCTATCGCCATCGAGACCCGCATAACTCTTAGGATGGAAATTTGGCGGCCACCAAGTTCGATGGCTTATACCGAAGGTATGGGGTAGTTCCTTCTACTGGCTGGTACCTTGTACATAGCACAAAGAACAGCCATCGGGGAGAAGCCCAGACCGTTCAAGATGAAGGCAACCGGACGATGGAGGTTCACAATGTGGGTGTGAATGTGAGTGTGAACGACACTCACACTCACAGCCTTTGATCTTGTACGTACGCAAGTACTTATATAACGGAATGGCCCCGCAGCGCGCCGTGGCAGAAACTTCTGTCCTCCGTTGTTGATGTCACCCCTGAGCGACCCCGAGCGCCGCAGCGTGACCTTCACGCTCCAGCATCCGCGCAGCGCGCAGCACCTCCCAACAAAGCTCCAACGGGACCACCGCCAGCCCAGCGACCGAACGCTCTGCACCGCCCACCGGATCTTCAACAGCACGCTTCTGAGCTCGCTCTCCTCGCGCCTGCACTCACTATCAACCAACAAATCCGACCTCCTAGCCACCGCCCTCGCGCTCGCGCGCGCCCCCTCGCACCCCCCTCTCAGGGCCCGCGATATCGACGCCGCCGAGCGGCTGCTACACTACTACCGCGCGCTGCTGCACTCGCCCGACAGCTGCGACGGCTGCACGGTGGCGCGCGTGATCCGCAGCAACGAGGCGCTGTTTGCGCTCGTCGCCGGGGAGCTGCTGTGGCGGCGCGACCGTAGCGCCGTCGTTAACTGGCTGCCGATATGGATGGAGCGGATCGATCTCGTGGAGCGCAGGTGCTTCGTGGATGAGGCTGGGCTGGACGCGCATCGTGTCAGGAGGTTGTTGAGGACTTTGAAAGCGCGGGCGCCGCTGACGGCTCCCGGTGCGGTTCTTGACTGTGCGACTCCGCCGGACATGCGGGATGAGGCTGATCCCTTCGCTGATCCGCCCGCTCGCGGGAGGAGGAGACAGCAGGAGGAGGACGATAACCGCTTGCCGGCTGCGGCTCGCGCGGGCGCCGTTTCCACGTCGCCGGGACCGTTCGGTGATGCCGGTGGATACGCGTACAACACTTCCCACTCCAGCGGTACGTCCGGCCGTGGGTGGGGAGGCGCCGCTGGTCTCCCGGGTGGTACGACCTCGAACATACCAGCGAGCCAGTGGACGCAGAGCTCCGGGAGCGAGCGTCCTAGGCGCTCTCCACGCGAGGGTGAGTTTTTCTAGAGCCTCAATCGTGTGAAAAGTACGTATAGAGTCAGATTGCCTTCGTGTCATACATCGTGTCAGGCCACACGCGAATCCCAGAGAAAAGAGCTACCTCATGCATTTCCAAGCAGACTGTAGATTGTACAAAAAACGCAAGCCAACGAAAAATAGCCAAAAAAAAACCGTCCCTACAGATCCCGCACGTCCCATGTGGGATTGCCATCCTACTCCACCGGCGCCTCGGGCGGGTCCCACCTCATGACCGGCCCGCCGACGCCTGTGTTTTCCAGCACCATCTCGCCCACAACCCTGAACCCCAGCTTCTCGTACAAGTTCTTCCCATTCGGGCTGGCCTCGAGCATAGCGGGTACGCCCTCCTCGCGGGCCCTGTCCACGCCAGCACTGACAAGGATGGCGCCCACGCCGCGGCGCTGGAACGCAGGATCGACGCCGAGGTACTTGAGGTGCCATCTTGCGGGCGGTATCAACTCGTCTTTAGCACCGATGCGCGCAAACGCCCTATCGAACTCTGCGCGCACCTCGGGGGCCCCGGAGCGATCGTTCGGCGGGAAGATGCGCGCGAAAAGCGCGCGAAGACCAAACTCGACGTCTGTCAACCACTACATGAGATTCGGGCGCGCGCGCAGTGGTGGAGTGGGTGGGCACACACCGAGCAGCAGTCCGGCGCGGGGGTTGATATCCTTCCCGCCCAGCGTGCCATCGCGAACCCACACGCCTACACCGGCAACGCCGTTGTTGGACGACTCGTCGGCGGCGACAAGGATCAGCACGTTGCGCGTGCAGAACAGCGTCTGGAAGGTGCGCGCGAAGGAGGCGGTGAAGTCTTCGGGGAACTCGTTGCGGCGCGGGTGCAGCGCGGAGAAGAGCTGGTCGTCGTGGAAAGCGCGTGCGTAGACGCTGGCAAGCGTCGGGATGTCGGCGCGGACGGCGGCGCGGACGTGCATGGTCGCGGTGGATGTGTGGGTGCGGTTGTCACATCGGTCCTGGGAGGGCTGCGGCTTTATGGCTGCGTGGCCTCGCGTCCATGGACTGTTTGCGAGGAGGACTGGGAGGTGGCGTACGTGAGCTGGTGGGGTAGCTACCTATCTCCCAGTGCACTTGGGGGGGTATACGTACCTATGGGGGACGGAGGCTAGCCTCACTGGGGATGCTCGCGGGAGAGGGATTCATCTGATCTTGTCATAGCTGACGGAGAGAACCGCTGAGCTCGCGTGTGCGATCCTGGCTTTGATGGCGAGGGTTAGCGAACGCCCGCTTCTCGAGCGACATGCCATGCTGGGCAAGAGCGGGGCTCATCATTGTCCTCAATGGGTTAGCCGATGGACTAACAGGTGTCAGGGATGATGTCAGTAGGCTTAATCATGGGATATCACTCTCGGTTGCGATCAACTTGGTGGCTGGGTTGGTTTGTCAGGGTTGCAAAGACGCTGTTAGTGATGAGTAAATCTAGGGTAGAGAGTATAACTACTCGTATTGGAACCGACAATCAGCGGGAATAGGAACAGGAACCTCCTCGAAGTATGGATGAAGCAGATTTGATTCCGTGTCTGCTGGGGCCAGCGGCCAGCCCATGCCTACGGCATAAACCCGATTCCCTTCGATGCATATCCCGTAGAAGTGTTTGAATGATGTTAAAAGCTAGATCCATATTATTCTGATCAGAAACCATACGCGATGAGTCATAGTTCATGACCGCAGTTTTTTCATCTCCGCATTGAATGCGTCACTCGAGGATTAGTGTTCGGAATCGGTTGGCTCGAACCAAATCGCCAAGAGAGCACGTGAAAGAAGTCGTCTGGGCCGTGGACCCAGATCACAGACGTCACGACTAATAACAGAGTAACAGAAGGGCGGTGTCCCGACTCTGGACTCCAGAGCCGGGTGGATTTGTCGTGACCTGGAGATCCGAAACCTGGCGCGATGGCGTTAAAGTAATCATTCAGACGGGGCCATATTAAAAGGGTAGGAGAATGCGCTTCGATTGATGGTTTCCACATTGTAGCTTGCGCTCAGGCAACTGATATCCTCAGATTTGGACATAATGTCGGTATCACTCGCAGGTGCTTGGCCATCTCGTAGATGTAGAGATTCCGAATCAAGGGCCGCGGCCCGACTCTCCATCTTCGGTTCACGAAAACTTCCCGGACGCATACCCAAGGTGGTCGGACACAAGAGTACTAGTAAATACAGGTAACAGAAGTCCAAAACATTAACTCACTGGAAATCTCAGATGCGCTCTAACTTCACACGTGGAGACTGTTGCAAACCGTCCAAAGATCGCAGATCGCCGAGGCAGGCATTCATGTGATTCACCACCGATTGTTATGTCGAGTCCGCCCTGGATTCAAACTTGACCATATCCGTATGGTTTCTGTTCACCAGCAGCCGATGTTCCGACGACAAAAATAACCGAGCGGAATAACTGGGGACCATCATAGCCTTGTCCCATCTCGAGAAAACTTTCCAGATTCCGCCGACTGCATGACATCAGCGGTTGTAGTAACAACATCAGTCGAGGCATATATATGTGCGTGGTCACCTGCTTGACCGTCGCTGTTTCCATCGTCTCGTAGAAGGTGATAATTTGATGTTTGAATTGCTCCCATACACGGCAAAGATCCTCCTTCTGGGTGACGAGAAAGTCCGAGCCTTCCCTCAGCTGCGCGAGGAAGGTCGCCTTTTGCCCGCCTGGACCCGAGTCGGCCGAGTCAGCCTCCACCATCTCGTGTAATTCGTCGACTCGAAGTCCTAAGTGTGGCGTTCCGAAAAGGAATGTCCCTTGAGTTGCGTCCAGGATAGACCTGTGAAGAGGATTGCGATGGGAATCGGCCAATGCCTGGAAGTGGCATAAATACGGTCAGAAGAGCAGGAGTATTTAGAGCCGGGAGGGTGGCAGATGGATTCTAGCCATTCTTGTTGTCCAAGATCAACAAATGTCAAGATCCCCGTGCTCCCGTATGGATGTACCTGTAAAATTAAAATACCCCCAAGGCTGTGCCCTATAAATATGATCGGCCGGTCCTAATTGTAACAACAATCACGTATGTACGTCAACCAGCGCGCACCTTGGCTATCGAAGTCAGCTATTGTAAACATACATCACGTACTTTTGCATCGCCTCTAGAATTCTTGAGCTGTTGGATGAAGTGACTTCTGTAGTCGACCATTTTCATGGAGGACTCGCGAGTTCCGAGACTGCTATCGTAGCCGTAGGTCATGATCCTGATGTTCTTGACGTCTAGCGGCAAGAAGTCTGTTAGCCACATACGGCGAGTTTTGCGGCTGCGCCAGGAATCAAACGCATGGCCGGCGAGACCGGTCACTGCGACTACGCTAAGAGACGCCCAATGTTAGTTACGTCAATCATTCTAACGGCGGCGGCGAGGAAAGGTGCACCAACTCGGCGATAATGTTGTCGCTCGGGACGTTCAACGGTGTCAAGTCGTCGAAATGGCAGTCGATGACAAGATCCACTTCTGCCCTCCTAGCCGTTTTGGGAATCCGCTCGTATCTAGTTTCCTTGCCGTCAAAGTCGAGAAAGTATTCGGTGAAGGTGCGAAAATTCAGCAACGCGGTCTGATCCAAGTCGCAACACGTAGGGTAGAGTGATAGTTCGTAGTCTTGGTCGCTCAAAGACCCATCGATAGCTTGAAGGGCAGCACGCAAGTCACTATCGCTCCAATCTCGTGGGACGGCAGATATCCGAAAACACTTCGGCGCCGCACCCGCGATCCGATCGATGATACGTGCCTTGGTCGCGGTGGCTGAAATTTCCGAATTATGACACTCGATAGGAGGCACTTCTACCGTATACGTACAGGCGGGATCACGAGGCTCCGGTGACCTCGACGTTTGGTTCGGATTTCGAGGACTTCTTCGACGTCTAGACAATGTGTTTATGGGAATAGACGAGGCGTCCGGCGCCTCTTCGGTTTCGGCCAAGGATGAAGATAATCTCTACGGACTTCAAGGTCATCGCTTGGTCGCTTAGGCATCGCCGATAGAAGCGACTGTGACGTAACTAGGCGAAGCCCCTGGTATTTCTAAGGTTCGCGTTTTGGGTCGCGTCGTGGAATCGAAACGTTTCGTGGCGACGGCTACTGAAGGTGAGGGACAGAAAGCGGGGATACTCCAGAAGGCCAGACCACGAGGCTCTGCTACTTCACTGGAGGCCGACCTCGCATGGGATTCCGTAATGCAGAATTTCCGAACGTGGAGATGTGACACGAAATGTAACACAGCTGGTTGGACTATGCACAACTAGGTGGATATTTGTTTTCACGTACTTGCAAATGCCACAACGGAAAATATAAAAGAAATAAAGACACACAAAACGGGGTTGGATTTTATAGTGTCGGTATGATGAATCTGCAGCCAGCTTGTTACTAGAATCGAGTCGGATGAGACTAGGTATTAGAAAAGGCAGATGACCGATTACCCCCATTAGGTCGATGGGGGCACAGTTGAAGTGTGGGGCACGCGCGACAAGCTTACTGACACCCCGAGAGAGAGATACAGCAATGAAATATCACTCGTGCGCGCCTAGACTATCTCATGGGATCTCGGCTTCCACAAGGCCCAGCTGGTTTAATTCGTCGGATGTAGGCGTCTAGAGAGGAGCGAATTGCCGCAGCATTCGGTGATGGCCCCCACCGACGGTTTGGGCTGGTTATCCATATCCGCTCTGTCTCGATGCCCGAGCTACCTATAGGGACCAAGATGTAAGGAAAACTCGGGTAGACTTTGTCCTTTGAAATGGACACATCGACGTCTAGGGAGCTCCATGACAGATAACCGAAACCCAAACCTAATACTGGTACATGTAGGTAAATCAAACAGCCTCCGGAAAGTTTAAACCAAAGAAGAACACCCCAAACTCCCCCAAAAGCTTACCAAAACCTGTAGTAGCACCGGAGAGCTCAAAGCAACGCCGCTCGAAGCTTTGATCCTAATCGAACACACCCGCGACACTCGGAACCTTGCCCATCCTGTTTCGAACCTATTCTTTTTGCACAGCCATAGCCAAATATCACCTGCCAGGCAATCCCATTACTTGCCGATCTTATGTACATGAAGCTTCTGAGAACGTGGATGCGGCAATCGATGGGTTTTCTGAATCCAAGATATGATGCTTCCGGCGGTTGAGTTTTGGCGTGAGCCTTCAAAAAAAGGTGGACTAAACGCGATGTACGAAGGTGAAATATTCGCCGGATGCGAGTACGAGCGACGGATGGTACGATGCGGATAAAGATATCGTATTAGTGGCGATTCCGGTGGTGATGGTGATGAAAGGCTTCTTGCTTTCGGTTCGGTGTATACTAGTTGAAGCGATAACGGCTCGCGCATGCGTTCTAGGAAGAAGGTGGGGGAATTGTAGCTAGTTAGAGTGATGCTCCCGCTAGTTGGAGTGGTGCTCCACGTGGGCCGCGGATCTCGATGCCCAGCAGCAGCTCGGACAATAGGGTCTCGGGCAGTGAGTAACGCAACCGTAGGCTCATGTTCGTTTTCCACGGCACACAGCACCGCTGTTTTGCGATCTAGGTCCACCGCTCCGGGATTTGCTCCTCGATCGAGGAGCACCTGGACCGTTTCAGCGTGACTACCCTTGGCAGCCCAATGTAGCGCGGTCTCGTTGAAAGGGCTTCTGGCCTCGATATCGGCTCTCCGGTCGAGCAGTAACTGTACCGTGGCGGCATGCCCCTCATGAGCAGCCCAATGTAGTGCCGTATGCTTAAATTCGGTGGCTTCGATGTTGGCGCCTTAGTCGAGGAGCAACCGAACTGTGGATTTGTATCCATAAAGGGCAGCCAGAGGAAGCGCACTATGCATATTGCCATCTTCAATCACCTCGATTTTCGCTCCTCGTTCGAGGAGTAGCTGGACCGTGGCATCGTGTCCATTCAGGGCGGCCCACTGTAGTGCTGTACGGAGTTTCCAGGCGTCAGTTGACGTACAAGCGCGGGAACAAGTGCGGAGACATCTTCGAAACCAGGAAAGCCTTCTACCTCTTGCATATGTGCTCCTAGGCAGCTCCGCACATAGTTTATGAGCGGTCGACTGTCCAAATGTCGGACATAAGCCTCAAATTTGTCCGTCTTCCAAGTCTCAGCTGAAGCTTCCCTTGGTGCCTTGTATGCGGCGTAGAGAATGAGATAGCGTATACAGATAGTGACCAGCTAGATATGGGCATCTTTCGCGTTTTTCGTGAATCGTGATGTCACCATGGAGTCGTTAGGCCGGAGGAGAAACTCACGGGCGGTTTGGTGCATGACTTGAACCCTGGCTTTTACCGAGAGTGTCAGTCGGGCTCTGGGAATGGACATTTGAATCTCAAGGTATTTACTTATGTACATACCATCACGTCCCTGGATTTCTAGGAAGTTACGGCCGCAATGTATCACTCGTTTTTCGATTCCCATGATCATGCGGTCCTGAAAGGAGTTCTCGGTGACATCGGCAAACGGACCATCAGGAACAGCAAGTGCATGTTGGAGTTCGGCCACTGTAGGTGACTGGCGGCCAAAGAGTATAAAGCGGAACATCTTGATGCCATGCGCAATATCCCGTTCTGTACCGCTGTCCAACTGTTTGAGCATCCGGTTATAGAGACCTTCTAGCTCTGTCGGCAGACTTTCCAAGAAACCAAAGATTTGCGCTTTGAAGCAACCGGTTTCCGAGTATCTGAGCAGTTCTTCTTTGACTAGGCGAACCCACAGAAATACTCCTTGCGAGTGATCGACTATGTATTCCGTCGCGTTTTGAAGGATATCGTCCGAGAATCCAAGCTTTGGGCCAAGAAATAAGCCCACACAGTTGACTATGTCGGGTTTGTTCATTTCTTGCATCTATATGACTTCGGGTGAATTGATGCACCGGTCGAGCTCCGCAATTGGTCGACTTGCGAAAACCACCTTTACGGTGCAGCATTTCTTGGAACAAAGGTCAAAAAAACGTCGAGAATAGCACGACGGTCAGCTTCGTCAGACTTATCGACCGCATCGATGATAAAGTAAAGCCGTCCTGTCCTGGGGTGATCACCCAACGAGAGCAAAACTCGCTTCAAAGACTCGTAAGGACATTCCGCGCAGTCTTCTCGGCCTCGCTCTCTCATCATGTCACGGTACAGTCGGTACTCTCGCTGAAAGTGGTAGAAAAAGAACTCATTTTGACTGAGGACATCGTAAAGAATTGATCGAAGCATGTTGTGGTGACTCTTCTGGAGCTCGCCTTCCCTGAAGCTGTAGAAGAAAGAGGCGATAGTTGCTGAACGCGCGTCGGGTTCCAGTTCAAGGATATTGTCTTTGAAATATTTGACAAGAGTGCTTTTTCCGCTCCCAGGTTTCCCTCCGATATATAAGAGGCTGGAGCTTTCCGATGCGGATCAATTCCGGTACCGGTGGTGAGCCCATAACCATTGCAACGAGCCTCGATGCTCCCTTGATATTTTGCTGTAACGAGTGTTATCGAAGCGAAGAGCATTGAGACAGTCTGCATATCTGGAATTAGAATATATGATGCGGGGATCCCGGAGTGTGTGATCGGACCTTTTCGTTCCTTTTCGTACTCAATACAACGAACTGACACCCCCTCCAGAGAAAGCTTAACTCCGACCTGTGGCCCGCTTGTAAGCAGAAGCCTGACTTCCAACTTTCCCTCCTGCAGCCCGGCGATGAACGAAGCAATCTCTTCCATGAACCGCACCCATTCCCCTTCGCCGGATTGCGGCACTGACATGTAGATGCCGTCGACGATGAGACATAGATCGACTGGATGTACGGTCTTCAACGCGGATACTAGTGCTTGAATTTGTTCGTGGTCTTTTGCGACATTAAGCAGTTTTGATATGTGATCGAGACCTCTGTCACTTTGCTTCCAATCAGAAATGCGAAAAAATCCTCAGCATAATTATTTCGATAATAGTACTACAAATTAACGGGGCGCATTCTTTTTCTACATCACTTTCTGTCATGTTGCCTTGTCTTCGTTGCGTCGACGCGTAAGATGCACAATGTTTTTTCTGCAGCTTTGCTGTGGCTAGCGAGGGTATCGCGTAACGACGAGGGGATCGAGTACCTTTTTAGCTCCACAGCGGGCATTCTATACCTTTGCTCCTTTTGAAAATCGCTGCTGGTAAAGGTCTAGGATCCAGCTAACAGCCAGCCGTCCACTGTTGGAATCCTTGGGTAGACGAGAAGAGATGATCCATTTGATACCACAACAAGACCAGCGGCGGCGAGGCCTCTTTTATATACAGACAAGTTCAGACTCCGAGGTTGGCCTCTCCGACGGCACTGAGCCTCGACTGCTCGCCGCGCAACCATATTCGCGTCGACACGCGGTCTCGAGTCATCCGCAGGGAACCTTATTGCAGCGAAAGTCTCCGGGCGTCCAAAGTTTGACATCAACCTGGGAACCCTGGAACTGACTCGGCATGGCATGGTCCTGTCAGGACCGAACGTCGTCTTAGAGTACAATCTCTTCCATACGTATTGTTGAATAGAGTGGACGATAATTTCATCGAAGCAGCAGATGGGTAAGGGAACTGCTTAGGTACTGGTAAAAGAAAAAATATAAACAATACAAAAGAAAACAACAGCAAAAACTTCAATATCAAGCCTCAGCGCTAACTAGTCGAATAATCCCTACACTCGTTCCCACATTCAGAACTGGATCGGACGGACTGGGCCGGACTTCGATGCGAGCGCGATACGTGACGATGATGAGAATTCTCGGTCGACATCCGGCATACATAGCATATGAAAGGTAGGACGTCGCGATGGTGTATCGGATCATTATAGCCCCAAATGGGGATAACGATTTGAGTCGTTTTGGAGATTGCTGTTGGACCAGCTTTCTGGCGTGTGTGCCGCAACAGATGCTTGGAATTGCTTTAACCGAAAGTCTGCGAATAGTCGGGCAGTCGACTTGTGTCCTCTCATAGTCGCTAGGTCTCGCGTCATAAGTCCGTAGTTATCGTGCGCACCGATATGGGCTCCGTGGTCAAGAAGTAGTTGAATAGTGGAATCATGTCCGCCCATGAGGGCTAGGTGTAGCGCTACATTCCCCGCTTCGCTATTAACTGCCGCATCAGATAACGGATAGAAGTTGAAACCGTATTGATTCCTGGCAGCAGCGTATGGTGCTATACTTATACTATTGTTGTACATAGCCCTAATATCAGGTGTACGGTGAAGGAATGCCCGGACAATAGAAGCGTATCCTCGCTCTTAGTCATAACGGCTATGTGCAGCGCTGTATCGTGCTCTTTGTCCTTCGCATTGATGTTGGCTCCATGATCAAGGAGTAGCTGGACAATAGAGTCGTGTCCGTTCGTAGCTGCCAGATGCAGTGCAGTACGTTCATGCTTGTTCATGGCCTCGGTGTTGGCTCCACGGTCGATAAGTAGCTGGACAGTGGAATCTTTTCTATTCATGGTGGCTAGGTGCAGCGCCGCATTGTGCCATTTGTCCTTCGCCTCGATTTTGGCTCCATGATCAAGGAGTAGTTGGACAGTAGTGTCGTATCCACTCTTCGCTGCCAGATGTAGTGCAGTACGTCTATGGTTTTCCATGGCCTCGGGATTGGCTCCACCGTCGATAAGTAGCCGGACAGTGGAATCGCGTCTTCCCAACGCAGCCACATGCAAGGCCTGCCCCAACGGTGTCTGCGTCTCCATCCTGCCACCACACGCAAGGATTATCCGTATTGTCGAATCGTGGCCATTCTGGGCGACGACTACCAGCAGGGTCTTATCGTCCAATTCCTAGTTTGCCGAGGCCCCAGCCAAAAACAATGTTTTGGTCGCCAGATGGGATCCCGCAGTAACCGCAGTCAACAACATGCTACGCTTAAATCGACCGGTGCTTGCCGTATCTTCTCCGAAGTCAGAGAACGAGTTGTGAGCCCAGTCGCCAAAGAGGTAAGTTGCGGGGTTTCCAGGTGTCAGGTGCTCAACAAGCGCGGAAACGAGAGCAGATAGTTGGAACGTAGGATAACCTTCCAAATCTTGCATGTGGCTTCTCAGGAAGCTCATCGCGTAGTTAAGGAGGGGTCGGCTGTCTAGATATCGAACGTAATCCTCGAAGTTCCGTAACACCCAAGATTTGGTTCCCGGCGAACCTTCCTCTGGTGTCGTGTTTGCGGCGCAGATAATAAGAGTGGGCAACCTTTGCATTGGTTCTAAGTATCGAGGCTGCTGCGGATCCGTTCGGCCGGAGAAGAAACTCCCGCACGGTTTGGTGCATCACCTGAACACTGGGCTCTATCAATGCTGTTAGTGGGAGGTTGGATGAGCTATGGGCAGGAATAGTAAATACCGTTGTATCCTTTGATTCTGAAAAGTTTCGTCCGCAGTGGACGATCCGTTTCTCCATGTCTATAATCATGCAGTCTTGGAAGTCTTCTTCCCCGAATTCGTCACCTGGACCGTCTGGCACAGCTAGCGCATGCTGGAGCTCTGCAACGGTAGGGGATTGGCGGCTGAATAGGATGAATCGGAACATCTTTATTCCGTCGATAATATCCTCCTCCGAACCACCTTGCAACTCATCGAACATTCGTTGGTAGAGCCCTTCTAGCTCTGTGGGAAGACTCTCTAAGAATCGAAAGATTGCCCCCTTGGAGCAACCTCTGGCTGAATATCTGAGCAGTTCTTTTTTGACCAAGTGCACCCACAGGAATACTCCATGCGCGTTCTCGAGTATGTATCCTGTAGCTCTGCGAAGGATATCGTCGGAGAACCCCAATTCTGGACCGAGAAAAGCATCTACGAAGTTGAGTATGTCGGGCTTATTCATATCTTGCATCCGTATAACTTCGGGCGACTTGATGAAATCCTCGAGCTCCGCAACCGGTCGACTTGCGAAAAACACCTTCACAGTGCATTCTTTCTTGGAACAGAGCTCGAAGAACATCCGAAGGATATCGTGTCTGTCGGACTCATCTGACTCGTCGACCGCATCGATAATGAAATGAAGGCGTTCACTCATGGGGTCACGATCATCAAGGAGGTTCCGACCTGATGCGAATGCCTGATATTTCCAGTACTCTCGTTGAAAGTAGCAAAACAGGAACTTATTTTGACTTAAGACATCGTAAAGAATTGAGCGAAGCATGTTGTAGTGACTGGTTTGGCGTTCGCCCTCTCGGAAGCTGTAAAAGAACGATGCAATTATCGTCGGGCGTGTCTGTGGCTCTCGTTCAAGGAGATTGTCTTTGAAATACTTAACAAGAGTGCTTTTTCTGCTCCCGGGCTTTCCACCGATACATAACAGGCTGGAACTCTCCGACGTCGACCAGTTCCGGTACTTCTGGTGGGACCAGAGCCACTCTAAGGAGCCGTGGTGTTCCCTGGAGATTTTACCGTAGCGTGTGTTATCAAAGTGAAAAGCATTGAGACATTCTATAAATCTTGCATCAGCTTAATTCGGGATGAGAGTGGGGCAATCGAACCTCTTCTTTCCTTGTCGTACTCAATAGACCGCCCTGGTATACCGCTTAAGGAATACGCCGGAACCCCTGTCTGTGGTAGGCTCGTGAGTAGAACCCTAACCTTCAGCCCACTCCCACTCAAGTTTGCGATGAATGTCGAAAGTTCTGTGACGAATCGTTCCCATAGCAACTGATCGCCATGGGGTACGACCATATACAGCCTATCGATGATCATGGAAAGTTCTGACGGTTGTTGGACCTGGAGAACAGACAGTAGAGCATCCATCTGCGCGTGGTCATCGGCGTCAAGCAACTCCGGCAAGGTGTAGTAGCGGTCACCTGGTAACTTCGAGGGGGACTCAAGTTTTCGCTGGCTTAGAAGGACGTGGTCAAGGAAGGCATGAAAGAATACCGCACCAATTGCTTCCTTAGGAAATTGTACAAAGCGGTGAATTTGGTGAAGTAGAGTATGAATAAAAACGGCAGTAAGCGATCGCTTGCCGAATTTGCTTTCAGAGGAGCACGAAAAGTGAAGCACCATAGCATGTGTACCAGCTAACCTTTTCCGCTCTAAGTCCACAATGTATGATGCAGCGAGATCGAGGCGGCGTTCAGGAGGTCCAGATAGCCACAGCACCGGATCAGAACGGCCATGGACCCAATCACCGAAATCAATGTTTTTGAAGATCCAGTGAAATTCCGGTTGGTCAGCAATCGATGAGGGAACCTAGGGCTCATGCTGTGCTTCATAAACTGTAGATAGCAACTTGAGAAAGCTATCTGCACTGGTGCCGTCTATCCCACGCCGAAGAGAGGCCTCCTGGGAGGGTTCTTCTTTGATGATGTCAGTCAAGAACTATTGTCTAAATACCGAAAAGAAAAGAAATGTTCGGTTGAAGTCTAAAATATACGAACAATGAAAGAACACAAGCATAGTAAGAAACCCAACATATTAATTGAATTCAAAGCACGGGAATTTCCAAAGCCCATCATTGCGCGGTGCGAATCATACGACCATCAGAAACCACTGTAAGACCAGGCTCACCGATGCAGGCTTTCATATGGTAAACCACTGATTGGTATATCGTTTCCACCTTAGAATCAAACTTGACCATTTCTGAATGGTTTTTGTTTATCGGAAGCCGATGTTCTGATGGTAGAAATAATCGAGCGGAGAAGCCCTGCACCATCATAGCCATGTCACCATCTCGAACGAATTTTCCCGATTCCGACTGACTGCAGTTAGTGACTGAACTTCGGAAGCGGAAGAGAAATCACCTTCTTAACAGTTGGTGCTTTCATCGTCTCGTAAAAGCTAATAATACACCGTTGGAAAGTCTGCCATATGGGTGCAAGAACCTCAATTTGGTTGACAAGAAAGTCTGAGCCTTCCTCCAGCTGCGCGAGAAAGTTTAGTCTTTGCCGGTCTGTATCTGAGCCCTCCTCGACCATGGACTGTAGTTCTTCAACCCGAAGACCCTGATGTGGCGTCCCAAAAAAGAAAATCCCTTGCGTTGCACCCAGGATAGACTTTCCTGGGTCCTTGAGAGTGGAGTCCACCAAGGCCTAAAATTGCGAGTCAAAATTAGTGGACTGCTGAGTATTTTTGGAGCGTAGACATACATACCTGCAGAATAAGGATTCCTCCTAGACTATGCCCCACGAATATGATTGGTCTATTCTAATAGTTGGCGACGAGTACGCGTATTAGTTGGCGCACATAAAAAAGCATAAAATGAAAGATTGTCGGATAGATAGACTGCACGTACTTCGGCACCGCTTCTCGAATTTTTGAGCTGCTGGATGAAGTGGGTTCTGTAGTCAACCATTTTCGTGGAGGATGTCCGGGGCCCGGTCAGACTGCTCTCGTAACCATAAGTCATGATCCTGATGTTCTTGACGTCGCGCGGCAAAAAGTCTTTCAGCCACATTTTTGGGTTTCGCGGCTGCGCCAGGATCCATACGCAAACGCCTGCAAGGCCCGTGACCGCGACTACACTAGATTGACTAAGTGTTAGTATATTAGCTCGCGAGGGGTTGTCGAGAAAAGGGAGCACAAACTCTGCGAGTATATTCCCGTCCGGTGTGTTCAAAGGTGTAAAGTCGTAGAAGTGGCAATCGATGACAAGAAGGGCGTCTGTCCTGACGGCGGTTTTTGCAACGCGCTCATATGTCGATTTATTGACATCTATGCTATGGAAGTACTGGCTATAGGTATGCAAATTCAACAATGCAGTCTGAGTCGAGCCGCAACACGCCGGATATAGTGACAGATCATTCCGATTGTGTAGAGATGGATCGACGGTCCGGAGAGCATCAAACAAGTCATCGTCGCTCCAACCGGGTGGAACTGCAGATATCCGAAAACACTTCGGCGCCACAGCCATGTGGGCTTCGACAATACCAGGCTGAACCTCATGAGGCAAATCGCTGGGATCTTGATCATCGTTACCAGTAAATGGTACTTCTGCTGTCGCGATGACACTCTAAAGTTTCGGCGATCTTGTCCAGGGACTTCGACCACAACTCTGACCCCGGCCCCGACTCCGGCCCCGGCCCCGAGTTCGCCCTCCACGTGTCGGCGGTGTAGCAGAGGGAATTGGCGCGACTTCCAACGCGCTTTTTTCGGTTTTTGCTGGGGATGAAGATATTCTCCGGCGACTGCTGGATCGCTGGGCACGAGCGGAAAGGTCCTCGCCTAGTCGCTTAGACATCGTCGACGACGGAGAGGTGATTGCGATGCCGACGAAGTTGTATTTGTTCTCGAGTGTGGCGTTTTCGCGTGGGTTGTAAAATCGATCTCTTCCGTGGTGATGCTAAGCTGGATGCGGGGGACAGAAGCGGGGAATTCTTCACAAGGCGAGAGTACGAGCCTCTGTTGTTTCACACCACCAGGCCAACCTGCATGGAACGCGTCACCAATTGCAACTGAGCATTGCGCTCCAGCCTCTAGAAGCGGCAGGTGCAGAGTGGTCGCATGTGGCTGAAGGTTAAGCCGGTCACTTCCACCGAAGTGATTATTATATGCGTTTATACGTAGCGATTAGGAGCTCTTGTCACGTCTGGATGGCTCGCTCGGAAATTCGGTCCTGGAACGACACAGCCACTGCATATACCTATTTTGAGAGCAAAGGTATAGAATACGCGCCGTGGAGCTAAAAAGGTGCCCGGTACCCTCGTCGGTACGCGATCCTCTCACCAGCCACATCCAAAATTTTGCATCTTACGCGTTGATGCAACGAAGATGCAACATGACAGAAAGTGGGGTAGAAAAAGAGAGAACTACGTGATGTTGTAGTACTATCATCGAGATAATTTTACTGAGGATGTGCTTGCATTTCATAAATGTCTAATGGCCAATTTTTCTCCTGTCGCGCGTTGTGAACAGCGCAAACCAGATGAATGGAATTTGCGATTGAGTCATAAACGCTCTTGACTAACTTTGCACACCCCTAGTGACTTATAATTAACATGAATTGACTCATCACTGAAATAAATTCACCCGCCACTAAAATAGATTGACTCGTCACTGAAATGCTATTTCATAGAGGCAGTCATAAAAGTACACTAATTTTTGCCAGTTCCCTACACCCTCGAAAGGTGATCTATATACAAGATCGTTTTCTCTCTGATAACTAACCGACTAGGCGGGGTAGATATCCAACGAATAACCGATCGTCGCGTTGGTGACCACAAGTTGCACCAAAGCTTCACCGTTCGTCACCGTGTAGACCTTATCGGCAACCACCACGATCTCATCGGCGTCGACCTTCTCTCTAAAGCCGATCCAGGGATACTGTTTGCGTTTGTCAGTACAGTTCTACACAGCTAGTGTGGGGTTGGAACTCACAGCTTTGGTCACAACTCTGACGGCGGTGCTGCCCTTCTTCCCCACCTTCGGCAGACTCTTGAGCTGGATCTGATAGGTCCCGGTCTTTCCATTCGTCCCTGCAATGAGCGCGCCCTTGCCCTTCTTGCTGTTCCAGGTCGAAAATACATCGAAGTACCCGTCCGTGGACCGTGTAGATGCTACTCGGACTCCGGTTTGCGCCTGGTAGTAGTATTTGTACAGGTGCCATTCGCCGGTTGCCCAGTAGCCGCCCGAGGACGGGTCGTACACGCCGCCGTTGGTGTTGTCGGGCTTGCCGACTAATGAGGCGAGATAGTCGTGGAGCGCTCCGCCCATGGCCTTGAAAAATCAGTGGGTGATCGAAAGGGAAGTGGAAACGGTGGAGTGTGGTACATACCCAGTTGGCACGAAGTCCCCAGGTATCGTAGCGCTCGAGCGCAGAGATGGTGTACGCGGAGTATCCGGGATTTTGGGTCTCGGGGATGGCGCTATGATATACCATTAGCCAATGACTCAACCGACTCGTGCGAAGGAGTTGTAAGTACTATTCGTTGACGGATGCCGGCTTCTTCGGCAGGCCATATTTATCCAGAAGTCCATCGAGCTGCGACCTGCTCCACTGCACATCATTGCCGGTTCCGCCGGGCTGGAACAGCACGTGCCAGGTGTACATATCCGGAATACTGCCGTTGGTCTTCGCGTACTCGAACCACTGCGGCCAAGGACCGCCGTCCTGCAATTCCGTGGCGAAAGCAGGCCCGGAGATCAGGACCTCCTTCGGCAGGAGCGGCCGCAGCCGGTGATATGCCCAGCCCCAGGTGTCCATGAACTGGTCGAGGGTGCGGCCCGTCCAGAAGCCAGCGTTGTAGTCGGCTTCGTTCCAGAGCTCGACTATGAGCCCTTCGGTCATGCCGAGACGGTTGATGTCGGCTGCTACGCGGACGAGAAACGCGTCGTACGATGCCCAGTCGCCGTTGTCGCCTGGGAACGGGTCGCTGGCGGTTTGTAGGCCATCGGCTCCCCAGAGCGCGGAGTTGAGGAGGAAGAAGCGACCGCCTAGGGCGCGAACATGGAGGTAGTTCTGATATGCCGATTCGATTCGTGCCTGGTGATTGGTCGGTCAGTAAATACCCCCTCAGTTGTGTGTGGGGATGTCGGATGAGGAGGACATACCTCGTAATCTGCTTCTCCTCCCATCCACCCCTTACCGGCTACCTGCGAGCCTCCCCCACGCCCATGGTTGATGCCAATCTCGGTGTAGAATGTCTTCGGGATCTGCCAAGTATCGATGGAAGTGTCCGGAATACCGTACAGCACACCACTGCCGTACTGCTGGGGCGTTCCACGGGTGACAGAGAAGTCGACAACGGCTACATGAAGTCAGCATCACCTCAGTCATTAGACACAAAGTACGGGATGACATACCAGTCGCGTTGTCGACAGCAGCGGAGACGGATGAAATGCTCGCCAGAGCACACACGGCAAGAGAGGTCAATGTATGGAACCGCATTGTGTTAGAATGTTCCGCAGGAATGGGATCGATGATGCAAACAACATGAGGAGCATACTGGCAATAGAATATATACCGATCTGTTCATGGGTGGTATCACCACCTCCGAGAGGGTGGGGAGGTCTTCGGGGAAGACTGACACCGAGATGGTGAACATCCAAGTATCAATTAATCCACGATGATGTATATTGAGGATGAACCTGTGCCTACCCTACAGTGCCGGACGTTACCATATTACCCAGAGCTACTTAGCCATGCAAGGTACTGCACCATCACCGTGGCGAGCCGCGACACTGCAGGCGTACAATCTATCTGACCCTGCACTGCATTCTTGGTTTTCGGTGGTCCTTGTTTCAGCTGAGTGGTGGCGCCGGAGCACCAGGGTCCCTTCAGGAAGTGGATATTTCGCCGATATTAGGCGGAACCTTTGAGAGTCGCTAAGGCCCACAGCCGGGTGTTTGTCACGATGCACTCAATATCGGTAAGCCGAAGTTTTTGCCTGTAGACAATGCCGATGAGAGTAGGACATATTCTACTCGTACCTATTGGTGCATAAACTCGGAGTGTAAAAACTGCTCACCCCCACCCTTGGGTTTATTCAACGACACCACAGGTAAAAATTCAAAGGGATCTATAGAATAATACAATAGACCTTAAAGCTTCTTCCTATACACCTAGATAATATATGGGAGTCTTGGTTAATTAGTTGGTCGGCCTTGATGTGCGGCAATTTTGTATAGGGAGCCCCAGGCATATCACCCAATGAGGAGATATATGTACTGGGCTACAGCTCTAGCGCTACTAATATCTCCCAGAGTGGCAATACCGGTGACAAAGAACGCAAATTACTCTGAGATCCCGTTGAAATATCCTTGGTCACTCCAACTGAGCTCGCGCACTATCCAGCGTAGTTCGACCGGGAGACGGTTCGGCAAAATACAAAGCGTTAGGGGGCCTGATCAATAGGGATACGACCACGAGAGTCGTCAACTGCATGCTCTGCGGAATGTTCCCCGTGCGGCGGACTACATAAGAACGTAGAATAGAGGATGTACTTACATATAGTAGCGCCACCCCACATCAGTTCCCCCCGCGCGATTGATCTTCACGCCGTGTAATGTGAGCGCCCACCCGCAATAGGTGCTGGTAGCGTAACCGGGTTCCCCAGGGTCCTGCAACGTCGATCTCCATTTAGCCACTGAGCAGTGAGCATCATACAGACGCGTCGATCCAGTATAGCCGACTGGAAACCCCGCTCTCGGTCGTACCAGTAGCTGAGCGTATGCAGAATACATCTACCTTGATGAGCCGTCGGAACGTGTTAAGCGGAGAGGAGAAGATCAGTGAAGCTTGCCCTTATGTAACGTCCGGATTCCGGCGGCGGGTGGGCGGTGGGTGGTGGGGATACAAATGTAACTTGCATGCTGAAGATGCCGAGTTCTTCCAAGGGCATTCCCGGGTTCGTCCTTCTGCATGCCGCCCTAGGTCTGCGTACGCGACAGCGCGGGGGTGGGGGACATTAATTAGCCTGTCAATTTAACCGGGCATATCCCTCCCCTCCCGTTCGGCATGAAACAAACCGAGACCAAGTTGATACGTCATGTTATCCGATGGCGATGTCCTCTAGATCACCGTCTGGGTAGGGACGACGAGTCATCGTCCGCTCTACATCAGCGGCCTCATCTCTAATCTCTCGTGGCTGCTGTCACGCTCGTACGGTTACTCGCAACACAGCAGAGATCTCGAGACATTGGACCGTTTTGTGGTTCGTTTTTTTTTCTTCAAGAGACTCTTCGGACCCTCACCAACATGTCGCGATCCCCGAGTAGCTCAGACTACCCTCAATGTTCCTATGGCTCCACAAGTCTCCCCAGCGGCTCGTTCTGGGGAAAGCAAACCGCCGGTGTTAGGACGACCACGCTCGCATTCCAGCTGCACATGCTCAAGACGACGGGGCGGTACGACGCGTTCAAGCTCAAGTGGCATCCGAGCTACGACGATCCGCCGACGCACTGGCCAGTTCCAAACCATCTCTTCTGGGATTCGGACGTTGCGAAGTGGATCGAGGGGGCGGTGTATTCGTTGGCCGTGAGTGAAGATGCGGCGGTGGAAAACGCCGTGGAGGAACTCGTGGACATGATCCGTGGAGCCCAGCAGGAGGATGGTTATCTGAATATCCACTTTACCGTGGTGGCGCCCGAACAGCGCTGGACAAACGTCAGGGATCTGCACGAGATGTGAGTTCCTGATGGGCTGCGGCGGCTGCAGCGGCGGAGCCTCGACGCACATTCACTGATGTTACGGTGAAGGTATAACGCGGGACATCTGATCGAGGCGGCAATCGCGCACCACAACCATTTCGGGAACCGTCGTCTTCTAGATCCGATCGTCAAGTACGTGGACCATATAGACCGCAAGTTCGGACCCGAAGACGGAAAGCTCCACGGATATCCCGGCCATCCCGAGATCGAGCTGGCATTGCTGAGGCTGTATGGCATCACTCGCGACGAGAAACATCTGCGGCTTGCCAAATATTTCCTCATCGAGCGCGGAAACCTTACGGGCCAGGATGGTAAGCACTTCTACGACTGGGAGATGAAGCAGCGCGGGGACAGAGAGAACGAGGTCCCTCGGTACTACCCAGAGAAGGGAAGTTACTGGTATCAGCAGGCGCTCACGCCCATCACCCAACAGCAAACGATCGAGGGCCACTCGGTGAGAGCGATGTACCTCTACACCGCCGTCGCGGATCTCGTACGGCTGGATTCTACCCTGTCGGAGGAGTACCAGGTGGCACTGAAAAGGCTCTGGCGCAACATGGTGGAGCAGAAGATGTACGAAACTGGTGGCATCGGCGCAGTGAAGCAATGGGAGGGCTTCGGGATCGATTACCTCCTTCCACAGGCAACGGACGAGGGAGGTTGTTACGCCGAGACGTGCGCTAGCATTGGAATCATGATGATGGCGGAGAGGATGCTAGCAGTAATTTTCCCCACCTTGCTGTTTTGCCTTCTGGCACGCCCGCTAAGACCGGGGTAGATCGACCCCGACGGTGACTACGCGGACGCCATGGAGCTAGCCCTCTACAATACGATTCTGGGCAGTAAATCACTCGACGGCAAAGCCTTCACGTACGTCAACCAACTAGCATCGTGTCCCAACGACCCCTCAAAACGCGACGAATGGTTCGAATGTGCATGCTGCCCACCAAATGTCACTCGGCTATTCGCCACACTAGGCGGCTACATATGGTCGTGGCGCGAACAATCCCCCGACAGGATCGAGGTCACCGTGCACCTGCACACAGCCGCGACTCTGCGTATCCCCACCAGCCACGGCGAGGTGGTATTGGAGCAGATCACGAACTACCCGTGGGACGGCAAGGTTTCGTACCGCGTCACAGCACCGACCGAGGTCACTGTCGTTATCAAGTCGCGGATCCCGAAGTGGACGACGATCCCGGAGAAGCAGCCGTACCCGGTGGTGGGAAGGAAGTATATCCTCGAGGGCGCATCGGAGTTCGAGGTGAACTTCGATCTCACCCCAAGGTTTGTGCGTCCGCATCCGTTCACTGGCAGGGATACGATCGCGGTCGCGAGAGGGCCCGTCGTCTATTGCGTCGAGGATGCGGATCATTCGTGGGTCGACGATCATTTCAAGGTGAGTCCCCAACCCCCATACATTCTCGTGCCTACGACTCGATTGACAGGTATAGACTACGTACCTCGATCCGGTGGTCTCGCTCGTAGAAGAGAACCACACCGACGCCAGTACAGGCGAGGCGTTTGTGCGGATAAAGAGTCCTGGCGGGGGTGCGTTGTTGGATGTGGACGGTACCATGCAACGGACAAAAGACACCTTCAAGGAGCGGAAGGATCTGGTATTTGTGCCATTCTACTTTCGGGGGAACAGAGGAGGCAAGGGCATGTTGAGAGTAGGCCTCAGAAGGTTGGCGGAGTGAATCAGGGTGGGTCCGTTTGATGTATGTACGGATAAGCTGTTTCTCCGTAGAAACCAAGATTCAGTCTTCCTTCCGTCTTCGGCGATGGGACTCAGCGTCTGGGCAGTGGGGGTTGTGTTTTGTGAACGAGCAGTCGTTCCACCGAACGGATGTACATGCATATCCGCTGGAGCCCCGAATATGTATCAACCATGTCCCCGGCGGGAGAGCACGAGACGTATGCCGACATCCGAGACCACGCGCATATCTAGAGACGGTTAACGTACCATTTGTATTTGCTTTGTCAACGGTTATCCATAGATTTAGCCAGTGATGTTCGGCAATTGAGCATAAATTGGGCTCCCGACGCGAGATGTGAGCGGCTGGCAGAAAGCTATGAGGAATACTGAATGGGAATTCAGCCAATTCAACGATAGCGATAGATTTACGGCCGTTTCGGGTGCCAGCTGCATTTTGAATCTACCACAAAATCGAGATGCGGTTTGAACCCCGCAGTTTCAGGGCGATGGGTGAGCGTTCGGCACACCACCTCATGTTAACAATTTGAGAGACTGCATATTATCGACTGAGCCATAATACCAGCAAGATGTGCGGCGTGATGTTGAATATCTGGGTTGCCGAACGGGTCATCCGGGGGGATGAGAGTTTGCAGCTACATCTTTGGTAACCTTCAACTTCTCAGAAACTCAAGGTTTGAAAATGCAGCTGACGACCGAAGCGGCTCCTAGTTAGCGATGCAAAAGCCGACCACGACGAGGATGACGACGACAAGACAAGACAAAACGACAGCGCCTCACGTATGCATACTTCCGCCAGCGTCCCCGTGAAGCCTCTCGGCTATGCACCCGAGTCACACGGCCTACCGGTAGTTACGTATGCACTTACCGGTATGTACCCTCTGCGGCCAGTGAGTGTGCTGGACCGAACCCGTTTTCGGTTCGGGTAACGAGCCAGACTATTGCCTCGCCGCACTGATGCAGCCCCTTCTGTCCGTGGCATTGCGGGTTTATCCGCTCGTGCTTCGCCAATAATCCTTCCACCGCCACCCACCCACCGCTACGACTGATATCATGCACGTGACAGCAGATGGAGACAATGATCCCCAGTCCCTGCGAGATTCAGCGTCTAGGTCCGGAAGACTGGAAGGCCTGGGAAGCGCATTTGACTACAATTTGTGCAGTTCTGGTCACGCATACGCTCTCGAGGATCGAACCTGCCGCACCGGTATTGCCCCATCGATGGACACGGAAGTGCAGAACGGGGCCGTCCAAGCGGGCCGTTAGCTGGCCTAGGTATCGACGCAGGGTGGTATGACAATCAAAAGCGTTTGGTCGATTTATGATGCTATGTAGAACTACCGTACCCGAAAGCTATATCCGCCGTCAAGCGACCGCGTCCTCGCCAATAATTGCCGTTAGCTACATACGTCGAGGTGTCAAGTCTGCGTATTCGTACCGTAGCTGGCTAAATCGATGCAAGGCAGTGCCTTGTCTCAGGCCTGCAGTAATTGACTACATTATGTACATATGCCGACTTTACCCCGCCGAAATGATCATCACCCCACACTCCGCAACCCCGCTAGCTCCCCGGGCCCCCAACCCTCCCCACAGTCCAACCCCGCGGTTAAATCAAATAACATCAGCCGCGAAAACTCGCATGAGAACTGATGGGTGGCATACCAAGCATCACACCGCTCATGCAGATCTTCCGGATTATGGTTTCTCGGTAGCGGCGTCGACCACGAGCCTGGGTTCTCGGGTTATCGATGTCCGGCACGGAAAAACAAGCTCGTATAAAGAATAGCAAAGTCGTTCGGGTCTTCTTCGTCTCATTTCTGTTCCTGTGTTTGGTGGCTGTTGCCTTTACCCACAGTTAGTTATTTACAAATCATACCTCCGGAAATAGGAAACCTAAGCGAGAATGGGGTTCCTGAGCAGATTTCTACCCCCGGATGATCGATATGCCGCGTTGCTGTTGGTGAGTCGTCACTGTCCGAAGCCTTAACTAGTCGAGATGTTGCCCGGAGCTCACACGCGCACGCGCAGTACGGCATGGTGTTTTCCACCTGCTTCAATGGCTACGACGCTTCGATCATGAGCGTTATCCTGGCCGATAAACAGTTCCAGGACTACTACCAAGTGGATGCCAACAGGAGCGGTGTCATTGCTACCATTCCTTGGGCTACCACAGGTGTCGCACAGCTGTTTGTCGCCGGAACCCTAGCGAACTATGTTGGACGTCTCTGGGCACTCCGGATTTCGATCGTCACCATGATCATCGGCGTGTACGTTTCCATTCGTATCGATGTTTGGGGATGGGAGGAGGACCGTCGCTGACCTCCACCAGTGTGGTCCAGTGCGTGCCGAATACCTATGCGGTCCTGATCGTGGGGCGCATGATCACCGGCCTCGGATTCGGTTGTGTCTACGTAGCAACGTAAGTCCCTTCTCCTCGGACCATTCTCTTTTGCACACCCACTCCAACTCGAGTAGAAATTTGTACGTTGCGGAATGTGCACCCACACGGCTCCGTGGTTCGTTCGTCGGGACTGTAGCGCAGTTCGGCTACCAGCTCGGCGCGCTGATCGCGTTCTGGAGCGGCTACGGGATGTCGTTCCACCAGTCCCCATACAACATCGCATGGCGGGTGTCCAACCTGATCCAGATCCCCATCGGAATCGCATTCATCGCTGTGACCTTTTGGTATCCCGAGTCTCCGAGATGGCTAGTACGTTCCGCTTCCATCACCCCACCCCATCCGGCAGGAACAGGACTGATCCGTAGGGAATAGTTGGAGAAATACCCCGACGCGCCCGAAGACGCACTGAAGACGCTCGCCAAGCTACGCTCCGGAACAGTGGAGAGCGAGCACGTGCGCGCCGAGTTCCGCGAACTAGTGCTCTCCCGCGAGTACCGGCTGCGCCACGCGATCCCGGGATACTTTGGGCTTCTCAAGTCCGGTGCGATGCGGAAGCGTCTCGCGTACGGATTCTATGCTGCTGCGTTGCAGCAGGTGGGCGGAATCGCGGCGCTGACCATGTACGCCGTGCTCATCTACAAATCACTCGGATGGGACTCCGGGTCCCAGGCGCTGGCGATCAATGGAATCCAGAGCGTCATCCAGCTGTTCATCGTCCTGGTCAATACCTTCACCGTTGATAAGTACGGACGGAAGACGCTGTTGATGGCCGGCTTTGCGATCCAATCCATCGCCCTGCTGATATTGTCATCGCTCACCACATCTTTCCCGGACAACGGGTTCGTTTCCCCCTTCCACTCAACTCCGTTCATGGCGACTAACCGACAACAGGAATAAAGCCGCCGCAGTAGTCGAAGTAGCGATGCTCTTCATCGTCGGTCTAACCTACTGCTGGAGCAACGGTCCGATCGCGCCCGTGGTAGCAACCGAGATCTTCCCGCAGCACGTGCGTGACAAAGCGTTCGGATTGAGTATGTTAGGACAGACCGCGTGTCTCCTCGCACTCACGCAGCCCTGGCCCCGGTTCAACGAACAAGTCGGACCCAAGAGCTACTGGCTGCTGTTTTCGCTCAACGTCGCTGCATTGGTATATCTTCTCCCCGGAGGCGATAAGTGATTAGAGAATTCTGGCTAACGTGCATATCTACCGCAGATCTCGGTGTACTTCGTCCTTCCAGAGACCAAGGGAGTCTCGCTGGAGCGCATGGACGCCCTCTTTGGCGAGCTGGACGTGGTCGACGAGGGAGAGAAAGAGATGATGGACAAGAAGGGAGTGGTCGAGGTCGAGGTTACTGGCGCAGACAAGAGGGATGCGTGATCAGATGGCCTACAATGTACATACTAGTAGTTTATCAGTGCGTATACATAACGAGAAACGACCGTAATTAGCCTTCAGCATTTGTCTGTGAAATTCTCAGGATATCTAGCCGCGATGGAGAGAACACTGGGTGATACCTCATGCTCAGTTGTACCTACACATCAACGTTGGCGGGGCCAGCGAGGCGCCTGCTCTCTTGGATGTCCTACATAGCCAAGGCAAATTCAGGCGTATTTCTGAATGACAACACCGGCACACTACGAACGGTTCACGAGAAATTGGACTTGAAAAAAATATAATTTTATTTGAGCTGAGGAATAGCTGGCTATTCCTCACCTTGTGCCTCCCCCTCCATCTCCCCCCTTCCCTTAAGCCCCGCCACCGCATGCCAGTCCAAAAACCGGTGGGAGGCCAGGACCACGATCTCGACTGAGATCGCGCCCGCAGGCACCTCCTCCCCCTCGGTGACCTGGATGATTCACTTCCCGCCAGTGGGAGTGAGAACCATCCGGTGCTTGCTGGTCTTTGCCGGTTTCTTAGACCGACCCTTGGCGGCGGCACTGGCGGCAGTGGCCTTCGAGTTTTATTAGAGATTTACTTACAGACATGGAGAAGCATGAATGATCGTACCTTGGCGCGTGGCGGTTTGGTCACCTTCGCCCCAGTCGGCCAAGAGCCGGCCTTTGTGGGGCGAGAGGTTCTCTTCTTGGGGAGGAAGTGCGGCGAGAGCTGTGTGCAAATCGAGTGAGTGGATGATGCACTGAAGTGTGGTTCGGGGAAGAGTGAATGGCTTACCTTGACGGGCGCCTTGATAGTAGCGCGATATCGGAGCAGGTGCCCGTGGGCGGCAGGAGTAGATGGGGCAATCATCTATTTGACTGTGAGCGCAGTTGTCAAACTGGATAGCGGAGGGGAGAGGAGTGGGAGGACCTACATATTTTGATTGTGTAGTTGCGATGAAGAAAGATGGGAGAGAGTGGGAGCGGGGAGCTGTTATTTATAGGTTTTCTGGATACCGTTGTTCTTTTGAGGGCTCATATCACGGTCGATGGGACCTCAAATTGATAAAGGATGTATGCCTACTCTCAATCGCTCCTCAGCAGCCCTTGCTGTGTCGTTTCACGTGCCATATATCCACAACATCCAAACGGCCTCACTAGTAACAACCGTACAGCCTCTTACCGCTACCATCACCCGGAGATTACAGGTATCAAGCAACATAACGCCAACCCTATTCGCCCTCGTCCCCAGATTCCCGTCTTCTCACCAGCCTCGGTCTCCAACACTACCACTTCCTATCATTCCTCTCCCTGTCATCGTTCTACCAGCTATACCTATAGATACCAATCAGTTAGACTAGCGGAAATGAGGAGGCTCATGTCGTGCGGAGTCACGGAAAAACCCTTGGGCCAAACATGTTTATGGACTTGTCATTCCGAGTGACACGACCTGATTGGATCCTACCCGTAGGCTGTCATGACGAAGACGTCACTACCATCACCGCCTATCGTTAATTACTCGCTTCCGCCACCTTCCGTGGCGCCTAAATAGAGTACCAAAGCTCTTCCGCCCTTGCCACTCCACCCGCCAGCTGCATCAGACACGGATGAGCCCTGCCCCGAGCGTGCCACAGAAGATCCACGGCACCTCACCACACCCTCCGCGGCGGTCCAGGTGGCTGGTGGCAGGTGCGTAGGCAACTACTTGATTAGGTACTCTGATTACTCGAGTATCTTTGTGATGATCGGCAGTTGAAGAACACCGGTTCCGAAGCAGCTGACGATTAGCTACGGTGTGTTTTTGTATGCCGCACGCTCATAGTGGTTGGTGATAGAACTAGTAATGGTAGTAGAGATAATTGGATAGTTGGTGAGTTTCCGTGGGCTCCCCCGGTACTCCTATCCTAAAACCCGGGTGGAATTCTCGCAACGCCGCTGTAGTTGTGCAACAATCATACCTGTCACCTACGGCAAGTAAAATACTCTACGGCCGACGCCTCACCCACAGCCCAGTTAATCGCTCTTTGTTCCTTTTTCCCATTGCCACACACTCACTTTTGGGACCCGTTCGGTTAACAGCTGCAAACTCTCATCTCCTCTGATCACCCGTTCGGCAACCCAGATTTTCAACAGCACGCCATACTTTTCATATGTATTGTGGCTCAGTCGGCAATATACAGTTTCTGAAATTCTCAACTTGGGATGGCGTGCCAAACAGTCACCCATTCCCCCAAAACTCATGGTTCGAATTACTGCATCTCACTTTTTGTATGGCCGATTCGAAATGCAGTTGACACCCAAGCAGGCCCTACATTACCCAACTAACATTTAGATAACAGTCATTCCTCTAAGCATTCCCTACCAGGTACGTAGAGATGTTGAATTTGTAGAAAAATGTGGCGTTGGTGTGTGGCTCGCGCAGTGGCTGGCGACGTGATAGGGGTCTTGATCCGCGTGGAGGATTGGCGAGGATCAGAGGCACGTGGCAGAAGCTCGGCCAGGGTGGCTTAGCAGCGTTGAGAGCATGTGACGAGAGCCTCGCTCGGTAGCTTGGCGGGAGTGGGGTTTAGGTCCGGCCTGTGCTTATAGCCTTTATTCGACACCACAGCTGAGCGATACGTAGGAGTTTCGCGATTAAGCTAAAACATTCGAGTAAGATAGAGCGACATAGTTTGTTGGAAGACGTATGTCAGGAAATTTATAGTAGGGCCTAGGCTTTTGTTTCTCCTATATAAACCTCACCATGTTGCCCGTTCTTTTGCATCTGTTCTTTATCGAGTCGGGAAGTTAATACACCATTGGAACTATTGTCCTTCATAAGCTCTCCCTCTCTCCCCCTCTCTCTCCCTCTATACCGCGTCCTCTCCCTGCACGATCTCCTCTCCCCACACCGTCCAGACAGCACGTTATGAGCCCGGGCCTGCTGCATTAGGACCACAATCATACCCCACCGTCCCGAATTGATCCACCCCCCCCCCCCCCCCCCCAATCCGCAACCATGGCCCCCAGCATTGACGCCACCTCGCTAGACCTCGATAGCCTACCAAAACTCCTTGACCAGAGTAACTACGCCGTCTGGGCCAGGACCTGGAGCGTTGCCTTTAAAGCATGCTGCTTGTGGGAAATCGTCAACGGCGAACTCGTACGACAGACCGAAAGTATTATCGGTAAAACACCTGAGACCTTGGATACCCCCGCTACCGGCACCCGTGCGACCGACATTTCTGCTAGGAAATGGGATGTCGTCACCGCCCAAGCACACCATATGATCAACATGGCCGTCGATCCCACCATCCTCCCCACCACTGCATTGGCACAAACCGCCGCAGAAGCATGGTAAGCGCTGAAGACCCGGTACCATCTCGAAACGGCCGAGACCACAATAGCCCTCCTCAAGGCAGTGGTCGACAGAAAGCTAGTTGATGGGGGGTCTCTTCCGAACCACCTCAATAGCTCCAACAGTAACTGGGATCGTCTGCGACGTCACTGCCTCTCATCTAAGGACGAAGTAGCTCAATTCCCCCGGCCCTTGTTCAGATCAAACCAAATCAAGGCCAAATTCATGTTCGCATCCCAAACCTAAACGACAGAATAATCATCCACCGCTCACAATTCTTCGTTTGACTGTCGCCGACGTTAGGGTAGTGAACCGTCCGTCCGGACTACAGTCTAGCACTACGCTAGTGGATTGTACGGCGGGCCCGTCCCGGGCATGTTTTCCAGAGGACTAGGGTTCGGGTGGGCTCGTGGGATAGACAACGGTGCTGGGGGTGGTAGGCACGGGCATTGTGATGGATTTGAGATTCCTGTGTATTTATATTGAAAATTTTTCATTCGGGCGCCGCCGCCAGCAGTCCCCATGTGACCCAGTCCATCCCGGGCCCTGTAGGGTATCTGTTGAGGCAGGTTCCGGCGACGGCAGGTTCTGGCGACGGCAGGTTCTGGCGACGACCGATCGGATGGCAGAACCTAGACGATGTTAAGGTAGGTTCTGGCGACGCCATGGGCGGCCAAGCAATTGGAAGACAGAACCTAGATTCTGGATCCGGCTTCAGAACCTAAAGGTGGATTCAGCATCTGGAACCTTAAAGTATGGACTCGGCACCAAGAATTTGGCCGCTCACTGTGTATTTAAACACCGCCCTATCCATAGTTGCAATTGACATCTTCATCTCGTTTCAACAATATCCGTCCTCATTTCGCCCGCCCGGAAGGATGTAGTTCTTGTTCTCCTCCGCCCGATTAATTCCGTCCCATGTCAGACATCCCCAAAGACCGACTGGAGGCCCTATTCACCGCCCTAGAATCTACACTAGATCATAGCGATATACACGCTGCGAGTACATGAATTTGATCTAATCCATGTCGGAGCAGATATGTTTCTAGCGAGTGATATCATATGCATTCGAGCCGTACGGACTTCAATAAAACGTTCCCCGAAGCAATCGTGCAAATGCGGTGGCGCTTTTCGATCGGGCATGCGCATGTACTCTACTATACTTTAACAAAGTTACAACCGCCCCGGCATGTAGGGGATAGTTACTGGTAAGGATGAAAGGCTTTGCCGCTGAGTCTCCTCACTGCATACATATATCCTAGTCCATTCGAGACCCTATAGGGTATCTATCCTCAATTCGCCAGCCCGGACGACTATAGTTCTTCTCCTCAGCCCGAGTAATTCCGTCCCGTCTCGGGCAACAACAAAGACGGACTGCACGGACGGTTGACCGCTCTTGCCCTTGGCCAGATCAAACCACGCAAAGGCCGCATTCTTGTTCGCATTGCTACTGGAATCGAGGTAGAACATCATTGATAACCCCTGAACCCAAACTGCAGACTCACAATCCACCGCTCACAATTCTTCACTTGACTGTCGCCGTCAGGATGCGAGTCACTGAGTATCACCTGGCTGTGGCCATCTTCGTACTAGCGTCATTGCGCCCGCATCCATTGCCGCGCATGAAGCAGGTAACTTCCCCACCTTTTCGAAGAGCGGGGGTCCCAGGGGACTCACCCTCACAACTGTCGGTCCCACCGTCGATAGGCAGGTAAAAACAGTCAGAGACACATACAAACAACATCATGGCACCATCATCACGTCCAGCAGTCTACAGAGCCACCGGGATCAAACGCCCCCTCACCGAACAGGAATTGGTCACGGCACTCGAGAAGCTCTTCTCCGAGGATGGAACCATCCAGATCCAGGCGATGATTTCCCCCGGGTGTTACTCGCACGATGTCATTGACGTTGCGCTGGTTACCTTCCTACCAAAAGCACCGACATCTCTAGAAGAGATGATCAGAAATCGCGACAGCGTCCTGATTGATACTGAGAAGGGACAGCTGTTGTTCGACAGGAATTTTCATGGACTCACACAGCTCTATCCCACAACGAAAGGAGTTGCTGTCACTGCCGAGTAAGCCTCCACTAGCGACGCTAGTTAGCTAGGATAATGCCGATGCAATTGCGTACTTATGGATGTCGCCCATAGTATCGTCGCCGTCACGGGCCTCGACGGCCATGCCTACGGATCTTGGAGGTCAAGAGAATCCGGAAAGATGTGGCTTCGCGACTTCCTCTCGGAAAGTTTTCCCACTTGCAGAACAATGATATACGGCTACGACTCCAAACTAGGGAGCACCGTGGGCATGCACAGGATACTAGACTATAAACGTGCGTTTATAGAGGATCTCAAAATGACGCGAAGATTGACGGAGGTATGTAAATGCTTTCCCGGCTACTATGATACGGCTAATAGTGGGATTTAGTCTACGGATCGGCCACTTATCTTCATTTGTCACAGCTTTGGTGGTATCATCGTGGCTCAAGTAAGTTGCGCCACACCGTGCTAGGTTAGGTACTTGGACACTGACGGATGAATCAACGTTTCTCGCAGACTTTAGTATCCGCGGCCAGAGCTGAAAAATTTGCCGATCCTACGCAATATGCGATCTTCACCGCCACTCGCGGCATCATGTTCTTCGGCACGCCACATCGCGGACTTTTGACGGAAGATATCCTGAGTATGGTGGATAGAAATGAACAGCCGGAAAGAACGCGGCTAGTGGAATCGATCGATACGAGCTCGCAGGAACTACGAACTGAACTGGAAGGCTTCATCGGAATCGCTGCGGTAGGGAAGTTCAAGGTTTTCAGCTTCTATGAGACCAAGAAGTCCCGAAAGTTGGTCAAGGTACGTTCCCGGCACTACCGAGGGTACATTCATCTATCGCATAGTAATCGTGAATAGGGTCCGAGTGGTGGTTTTAGTAGGAGTGGTGACTGGTTTTTTCCGGTGGCTAATGACTCGGCTTTGCTTGACCTGCCGGGCGATTCGGAGGTCGCGATTCCGGTACACGAAGACCATTCCAACATCGTCAAGTTTAGTAGCCCTCAGGATTCAACCTTTGAGATCGTGCGGCATCACATCTCGGAGGTGAGTGCAGGGCTGTGAATATTGGAGCCAACGAACTGGTTCAGTTAGCGGGTGGATTATATTGTAGGCATTTCAATTTATTTTTCAGGCGTCAGACTTTCAGTTAGTGCAGCTTGTTTGTGATTTATAACCTAGGTAGTTTGATTGTTACTATAAACTGCTTTCACTGCCAGTTGGAAAGAGGACTTATCAGTATCCGTCAAGTGACCTGTGCCTCAACTCCACAGTTCCGTCTACTGTTCATATCCATACAATTCTCTCCGATGATACCTGCTTGGACGGAATTCTAACCGATCGAAACAGCGCGGCAAAACGTCCTGGATCTAGGACCATGGAAATCTTGATACATTTGAGGGGTTTAGCTACAATTGTCTCGTGAGAATTGACTATAACTACGTATCTGGGATATCTGTTACCAGTAAGTGACTTGGCTATGACCGAGAACCTCTCGAGGTGGTGATGGTTTTTGTTTTTCGCATCACCAGTGAAGCACTAGATATCACGCGAACGTATCATGTGACACGCCTTGCGCTGCAGGCGGTTTTTTTGTTTGATCATCACTAGCTGAGTGGCCGTCTAGGTATTCGGGCCTGTCAGGTGTGTAAGTTAGTCGGGCCTGTCAGGTATTCGGTATTCGGGTCTGTCAGTTATCCGGGCCTGTCAGGTTTCGAAGTTGGTCGGGCCTGTCAAGCCTGTCAGATGGTCGTGCCTTCAGTCAGTCGAGCCCTCTAAATTCTACGCGGACTAGCCTGGCGAGGTCCCTCTTAGCGTCATATCCTATCACCACCGGCGAAAGCGGCCGTTGCCTAGACTTGAACTCAGCGTCCTCAAACAATTTTCGTCCAATAAAGTCCAATGAGAGTCGAAATCCTTCCTGAGACATTGGACATGGCGACTGTATGCGACGGCTAGAGCTGAGCAGCCAGTGGTTCCTGGTGTCCGGGGCCGTTCTGGGCGCACAAACCCATCGTTCTCCACAAGCTTTCATCCGATAATGCCTTATTTAAAGGTTGCGGGGGTTGGTCTAACTAATCCGTAGATTATGCGCAGAAAATAATCTACATACGGCATGAAAGGAATGGGTTGCATAGCAGTTACTAGTAATTAGTCACTGAACGATCCAGGACCGAACCGCAACTTGACCCAGCATCCTGCATATTCGACCGGAATGGATGGTGACGGGAGTGAGACATCATGTCCAGTCACATCTCACAAAATCTCGGATGCCAAAGTTCTAACTACAGCTGACTCTGAAACATCGTCAATGACAGGTAGACACATGACAGCTACTAGTACAATCCATACCCCATCGTATCCGACAACTGCGGAATAATGCAAGTCTCGGCGGGGAGATTCATGGGATCATCTGGCCCCTTTACGCTTGTCAAAAAAAAAGGTCCGTACATAGCAGTGCATAACTACTGATCATCGTATACAGATATCGTCGACCTTGGATCCCTCATTGCCCAGTTAATTGGGCCCTTCTGCAACGACTATAGCAGCAATGTCAACGCCGACAGCGATGGCAAGAACACCGCGCTCGCAACCGATACATCCCTTTTTCAACACCATGCCTCTCTTCAAAGTCCTGTACATAAAACTGGAAGCCATCGTGAACGACGGCGGTCCACGCGGCGCCGCGATCAAGGAATTTCTAGACTGGCGAAACGAATACATGCGATCTGTCGGCGTTGTGGTTTGTCACCATACCCCCGCCTCCACCGCGGAGGTTCGGTTCGATTGCTGACGTGATGTTCTAGGCATCCCTCGTCGTAGCAGTCGTGGCGACAAGCCTCCAGTTCGGCGCCATCGCGACAGCGCACTGGACAGTGCTGGCGTTCTGGTACGCGTCGATATTCACGGGCTTCGCGTCGATCTACCTGGGCTCGGTGGAGGCGCACGCCATGTCACTGAACCGGATCGAGAAGGTTCTGCGCGTATTCGAGACGCGCACCGGCGTGCTATGGAGGGGCATCTGTGTCTTCTCGTTGGGACTGGCGCATACCTTCCTCGGAATGTGTATCATACTCTATCTTGCGGGACTGGTGGTCTTCTTGCTTGAGCCGCTGAGAGCGGGGTGGGGGAGGGAACAAAAGGTGTGTTTTGAGCGGGGGACTCGGTGGGTAGGGATGTATTATGCTGACAGCCTTTTTTTCTCTAGGCGGGAGTCGCGGGAGTCGCGATTGGAGTTGCGAGTGGACTCACTCTCATCGTGTCGGAATATTTGTGGTTTGGACCTGTGGAGTACTAATTGCTTCCAGCCGTACATAGAGGCAGCCTGAAGCTCTCGGGAACTTATGGTTGGGGATGCTCATCGGCGGTGGGGTTCACCGTTCGATATTAGCTGGTTGGGGAAATGATGATTTCTAGCATTGACTCTCGGCTCCACAACTCAAAAGAGGGGATAGATCCATCGTGGAGATATACCACACTCCGTCGGAGGGTTTTTCAGTGGATCTACCTACCTCCCTACCGGATGGGATTCTAAAAGTCCCGTCCGTAAGGTGCACTACAAGAAATCGGTGCCAGTGGTGGTCCATGCGCGTGACTGATATCTCATGCAGAGCAATACTCGGGAATCCGGATTACACTTGCATACCCAGGCATCGTAGGATAGATGGGTAACTATTTAACAGATCAAAATACCTGCAATAAAGATTTGTCTTAGCTACGGAAGTGTACATACTATACTCCGAGTTGTGCCAATACCAGCCATACCTAGCTATCACCTTACCGTAGTCCTCCATCATCAGCCGGCCTACCTCCACCCAATAGCTGGTGGTGGACTTATTGAAAAATTATATCAAAGGTGATCAGAGATTTGAAGTGTATTCTATTGTATGGGTATGTATGTAGCATGTTATGGGAATAAGAACTAGGTACCTATTCGAATATAGACGGCGCGACTACCGCCAACATGACTTCTCTCCTCCGGTGCTGGGTGTAGATGTTAGAGAAGAAGCGGGCAACAGATCATAGGATCGGAGTAGATAGGTACTCAACTGGTTCGGATAAATGATAAATCTCCGCCACCAAGGCCCAAGGCCCATTGTGTTATTGAGGATGATTGTATGGTCGTAGTTGTTTTATTGTGTTGTGCAGCGAGAACGCAGCGGCCGGCAGGTCGTCTACGGTGAGGGAGGCTGCGCGGCCTCCTCCATCATAGCCCAGCCTTGGGAATTGGTCGTTCATACTGGAAATAACTAGGCATTCACTCTATGCAATAGCTCGAGGACATTCCCAGCGTTACCAGAGTCAGGACCGTCTACACGCACCCAACGGATTTTTTTTCCCTGATGCGGGCTTATGCCCAGACAGGCGTTCATCTGGCAGTCGGTATGGTCAGCGCCGCTATAGGAAATACATCCAAAGCAGTTCGGCCAGCTGGGTAGAGGATGTACTTACGCCATTCTGCAGCCGAGGCTAGCAGCCCCCCATATGATGTCGCTCCCCCCCCCCGCCTGGGAAGCACCGCTGGAATGTAAGTTGCCAGAGTGCAATGGATCGTTGTGATCCATTGGGCGCGGTCCGACTGGAGCTGGAGGAGCTGGAGGAGGAGGCGGTAGTTGTGGGGTGATGTGTTTGCGAAGCTCCAATAGCTATGTAGCTATGTAGGGAGTGTTGGACTTCTCTCCTCCAATGCTTCAAGCATGAAATTTGAGGCCGAGATATCAGCTGTAAAAAGATCTCTGATCCGGTCGTACTTTGAAAACAGGCCAAGACTGAAAACTAAACCCCGATCTCACAAAAGCCCAACACTCTCAAACATACTTTGCGTCTTCCCAACTTGATCCCACCATACTCTTTTTTCTGCGATCTTCCGACGATTGGTAGTCTCGATTACGGCTTGTTAGATCCGTGACCTCCGCACTTTGTTCCAGAGGCGACCCGTCAGCATCAGCATTGAGAGTCCTGTGGAGGAGGGAGCATTGAGGGTGTCGGGTAATGAATGTGTCGCAGGTATAAGCCGAAAGTCAGGAAGTCAGGAACTTACGGAGGTATCATCACGCACACTATGCACTGGACCTTCGGGAGCTCCTTCTTCAACTTCTTAGTGACGCTGGTTTTCGTTGTTGTAGCGCTAATTGCTGTTGTTTTCTTGCTTTATTATTGTTTTATTATGTTGTATTATCGTGTTGTAATGTGAAAGAAGGAAGAGGTGGCGGGTGAGGAAGACGGTACGAAGAGTAGGAGGTGGACCGTGGACCGTGGACCGTGTGTGACGAATGTCACACACGTCGAAGGCTGTACGAAGGGTAGGGTTGCGGCCCTCCCGCCGAGCTTCTATGCACGCCGAGGCTCTACGCCGACTAATCCAATCGAATTCCACAATACAAATTACAGAAATAGGACCGCCAGAGCGAGAGACAGAGGCAGAGTGGGTATAGAAGTATAGAAGTACGCAGTGCCAGCTTGCGTAGTACTCGAGAATCGATTGGCGCAATCCACTTATCCCACCGGCGGCTGGTGATACTCGAGAGTCGACAGGTTCGGGGGATCCGCTGTAGTCTGTAGATCCAGCCACGTGCTCCGGGTGTGGCGGCGTCGTTGCTGCGGAGGTAGCCGACGATGTCGGCGATCGCGTCCTCGTCGCAGCGCGGTGGCGATTGCAGATCCTCTTTCGACTCCAATCCGTCCGAGGCCGGGGTGCGGTAGCCCATATGGAGGATCGTCGTCAATACGCTGAGCTGGAGGCCCCATCCCCGCCGTTTCTTGGGCTTGGGCTATTCCTCCTCTGGGCCCGGCGAAGCAAGGGAGCTCCTACGCGCCCTTAATCGTTCCCGGAAGGTGCTGCCTTTCCTGCTGTTTTTGTTGTTGTTCTTGATATGCCGTGGTTGCTGCGGACGAGGCTGCTCAAACGCTTGCATGAGAGTATCATCTAGAGAGAGATAGAGGGAACATCAATTTTTTTTGCACCAAGAACAGACAATCACATTTCGTCGCCCCTCACCTCCCTGCACAAGATGCAGACACGGTATCCTGCTAAGCACTCATGATCTACCCCCGATGCGATGCTTTCCTCCTCCTCCTCCTCCTCCTCCTCCTCCTCCTCCTCCTCCTCCTCCAGGCCTGGCGAAGGTTTCCTCCCCATATCCGGCGTTGCAAGGAACTGTAGAATTGCATCGCTGCACCACTCATCCGCGAACACCTCCGCTGTGGACCACCTCTCTTTCCTTCTCTTTGTCTCCTTCCTAACCTTCGCTCACAAGTGTTTCGATATTTACCCCACCTCGCTGCAGCAATGTGCGTGAGTGATATCGTATGCAGATCTGAACAATAGTCGGAAAACCGACTTTCACCTGTGTACCCATGCACCGTAAGATAGATAGGTACCTGTTGAACAGATAAAACTACGTGCAGTAATGATTTGTTCCAGCTAGATAGAGCAATTTACACACTCTACTATCAAAGATCGTGCCACTACTTACCCTCCAGCCCTTTATCTGGCATGATTCCTTCATCGACCAACCACTCATCCCACAGTCAAATACTTTTTCACATGCCTGCTCGCTTCGAGGGCGAGGATGGACGGAATTTGCGTCCATATTTGCTGTGCATGTGCAGTGGATGATTGCTGGTACTACCTAGTACTTATGCATGTGATTTTCCCATCGCTAATGGTAGACTTGTTGGAAGATTACATCACAGGCGATCAGAGAATTTAACTGTAATGTATTATATTGGTATGTATGCAGTATTACTACGGGAAGAGGAACTATTCTAATATCGACGGCGCGACCACCGCGAACCTGACTTCTCTCCTCCGGTGCTGGATGAAGAGGTTAGACAAGTCGCGGACGACAGATCATAGGATCGAAGAAGGTAGGTACTCAACTGGTTCGGATAAATGATAAATCTCTGCCACCATGGCCCAAGGGCTATGTGTGGGATATCATCGTTGAATGCTGACTCTTGCGGTCGTTCCGGTGCTCCCACATGCCCTGGAACTGGGCGAAGTGCTTCACGAACGTTGGGTCGGTGAATAGAATGTCGTGTAGCAGCCGGATTCCGTTTTCGTCGCTGATCCCGAGCAATCCGTAGATACAGCAAACATGATAGCAACGGCCATCATCAAACGGCGTCGAAAGGAAGTTGCGGGAATCATCGTGACTTCTTCGATGATATCCCGCGTAGAAGGAACCTGCTCGGCTTGAGGTGAACTGCAGCTGCTGCTTCCAGGCGTCCGTGTCAGCACCGCTATAGTAAACACAGCCAACTCAGCCCGGACAGCTAGGTACTTATACCTTTCGTCGGGCTAGCAGGTGGAGAGAAAGTGGTAGGGGGAGATGGACTGTAAATACCTGTAGGTTGTCGGTGGAAGCGTGTGACAAGCCGAAATGCGAAGTAGAAAGTAAGGGAGTGAACGGGGAGGGAGGGAGCTGGGGCCCCCCCTCCACCCCCCACTCCTCCACCCCCTGGGGGACCCCCTGGGGGACCTCCTGTGTCCGCGGCCGCCATGTATCCGCCAGCGATTGCCTGGCGATGGTGGTCGCGGCTCGCAGCACCACCGTGGTAGATCTTGGGTGTCATGTGCGTCCTTCTCCATCTCATTGGTCGGAGTTGGATCCGGGCAATGAGATGGAGAAGGTAAAGGGGCAGGGCGAAGATGGAGCAGCGAGAGCGAAAGTATATCCGGGTCCGGGGTCAATTCGGCACTGTTAACAATCCCAAGAGCGAGTAGACTCGACTCGATGGGAACATCCTCACCAGTGGTGCCGGCATGATTGTTGTTCAGGATCGAGCTGATCGACTGGTGGCCTCTTCCATCTGGGGAATCAGCGTCCATTGCCGCCCGTCCATCGGCGGCCTGCTTGAACAGCGGCAAATAGTTGTGTTGTTGTATTGTATTAAGTTGTATTAAGTTGGGTTGTGTTGTGATGTGAAAGAAGGAAGAAGTGATGTGAAAGGAGAAAGAAGTGGTGGGTGGGGAAGACGGTACGAAGGGTTGGTTGTGGGCCGTGGACCGTGGATCGTGGGTGACGAAGACTGTACGAAGGGTAGGGTTACGACCCTTGCGCCGAGCTTCTACGCCGACTAATCAAGTCCAATTCCACAATAAAACTAGGACCGTCAGCACCAAAGTGAGCATAGAAGTATAGAAGTATAGACGTACCGGCGTACCTACCGCGAGAATCGGCCTGCCTGGTAGGTACTCGATAACGATATCGGCGTAATCCACCTATCCCACCCACCGGCCACCGGTGTAGGTACTCGACAATTTCGACGATCCGGGCAGCCACTCTGTACTCTGCACATCACATTTAAACGCCGATAGCCGTGTATAAGGTAAGTATCGTACAAGAAGACAGTTGTAGATGGATGTAGCCTGTCTACTCAAAACCGCGGCTGCTGCTGGGTGTTGCGATTTTCGGTTCTGGCTGAAAGGCCACCGTTGTCACTCGTCCAAGATAGTACACATTTGTCATTGGTCATATGCGCCATGTTTTGCGCCTCCTCGAGTGCGCCGCGAGAAACTTGTTTATTCTCATACTTGCTGCTTGTTCTGCTTTACTGTCGGGTATGTCTAGCTGGTCATCCACTGTGTTCTGCGAATGAATCAAGCAACCGAATAATATCATCTCACACCTATATTCTCAACACTGGGGGTTCCACCCGACTCGAGTGCTCCCAGATGAGCCGCCAGTGGAATCGAGTGGGATCTCTAAAAGTTCGACGTTCGTGAATTGACTGCACAACAGTGGACTTCGCTTCCGGTGGTGCGGTCTATCGACCCCGTCGACTCCATGATATCGCCAATTGGCGGTGGCGGTGGTGGTAGCGGCGGTATCCGCGCCTGCATACCCCTCTTCCTCTCCCTCTTCCTCTCCCTCTCCTTGTGCCCCCATAGCGCTCAACAATTGCGCTCAACCTTCGCCTCCATCCACTCCTCCTCTCCACTCGACCTTCATCCATTCGTCCTCCGATTCTCCGATTCTCCAAACGCTCCGAGTCCGGTAGGTACCGGTTACTCCAACTCCAACCCAAACCCACCTACCTACCCACCTCCATACTGGCTATGAAACTTATCCCGTCCGGAGACGTTTGCACGAATAAGGTGGCACCAATAAGGTTCTGCGGTGGAAGTTCCGCGGTGGACGGCCGCGACCGAGTGTCGACGAGCATATGGTTACACGGCAAACTTTACGTGGCAAACTTTACGCGGCACCTCGTATACTGTGGAGAGAAGCCTCCCTGCTGATGATACTTTTGCCGGGGCTAGTCAATTATCTCCGTCGTTCTATTCGTATATCTCAACACTGGCTCCGTAACCACCGAGCTCAACCCGCCAACATCACCGGATATCACTCTGATTCACTCCGAACTGGAAAACCTTCAACCCTCAAGAACGGGAAGCGAAATGAATTCTATTCCATTCCTATGTACGCCACCTGTTCAAGCCCCCAAGCATATCCAGGCTCGCATCGAGGGCGAGGATTGACTGAATCTCCGTTCACCGTCGCCGTGCATGTGCAGTGGAGGATTGTTGCTACTGGTACTTATGGATGTGATGTATTTGCGATCATGATCCGATAGCTAGCTATTATTGGACATGTGGGAAGATTACATCACAGGCGATCAGAGAAGTGAAGTGTATTGCATTGTAATGTATTATATTGGTATGTATGCAATATTATGGGAAAAATAACTATTCTAATATAGCCAGCGTGACTACCGCCAACATGACCTCTCTCCTCCGATGCTGTGTGTCAAGGTTAGACAAAGAACAGACAACAGATCACAGGACCGGAGAAGGTAGGTACTCAACTGGTTCGGATAAACGATAAATGTTAAATCTCCGCCACCAAGGCCTAAGGGTTTTTGATGATGGTTGTATAGTTGTAGTTGTTGTTTTAATGTGTTGCTCAAGGAGGCAGCAGCGGCAGCCGGCAGGTGGTGGATAATAACGATGGCTGCGAGGCCTCCCCATACCTATCAAGAACCCCCAGTCAGCGCCACTATACCTAGTGGATACAACCAAAGCAATCCGTTCAGACATGTAGAGTACTTACATCTTTCTGCGGCCGGGGCCAGCAGCCCCCCTCTCGCATGCTCTCTCTCCTCCCCCTCCCCTGCCCACCCGGGAAGCACCTCTGGAATACAGGTTCCTAGAGCGCAATTGATCGTTGAGATCCATTGGGCGCGGCCCGGGTGGTTCGGGGGTGCTAGTAGGTGGAGGAAGGGGGGGAGGTGGTGGATGTGGGGTGATATGTTTGCCCGGCTCCAATCACTGGAGGTAGGGTCTCTCCCCCGGCGCTTGAAGCAGGAAAGTTGGGGTTGAAATCAAGTGGTTTGGGTAACTCGATACCACCGCCGGGGGCGGTGCTAATCGCTGCAGCCCCGCGGATCATCGCGGCTATCGAGGTTGTCGCGGTTGTCGTGTTGTCGTAAGGCAGTCATATGATAGTCGTAGTTGTCGTGGTTGTATTTTTATGTTGCATACGTTGTGTTCTGTTGTGATGTGAAAGAAAGAAGTGATGTGAAAGAAGGAAGGAAGAAGTGGTGGGAGAGGAAGACGGTACGAAGGGTGGACCGTGGACCGTGGACCGTATGTGACGGACGTTGAAGACTGTACGAAAGGTAGGGTTGCGGCCCTTCCGCCGAGCTTTTAGGGTAACTATGCCAAGCTTCTACGCCGACTAATTCAATCCAATTAAATTCCATAATAGAAGTTATAAAACTAGGACCGCCAGAGCGAGACAGAGGCAAAGTGAGCATACTATAGAAGTATAGAATTACGCAGTACCGCCTTGCTTAACTCGAGAATTGGCATGCCTGGTAGGTACGCGAGAACGATATCGGTGTAATCCACTCCCCACCGGTGACCGGTCACCGGTGGCCGCTGTACCTACTCAACAGGTTCGGGGGATCCGCTACGGATCCAGCCACTCTACGTGCACTCATCACATCACAACACATCCAAACGCCGGGAGTCATGTAGAGCAGAGCTTCACGTACACAAGAAGACAGTTGTAGATATAGCCCGTCCATAGCCGTATCCGTAACAGCTGGCGGGTTCCATTTGACGCGAGTGCGCTCACATGATCCGCCTGTGGGTCTGTCTACCACAGAGGTTCGACGTTCACGAATTGACTGTTAATGGACTTCGCTTCCGGTTGTGCAGTCTATGGAATCCTTGATATCGCCAATTGGCGGTGATGCTGGTAGTGGCGATATCCCTCTTCCTCTCCATCTCTCTCTCCTCCCCATCTCCTAGTACCCATCGCACCCAACAATCACGCTCATCCTTCACCTCCACCTACATACCGTTATCAAACTCTAGACGTCCGGAGTCGTTTGCACGAATAAGGTTGCACGAACAAGGTTGCACGAATAAGGTTGCACGAATAAGGTTCCGCGGTGGACGGGTGGACGGCCGCGACCGAGTATCGACGAGCACATGGTTACGCGGCAAAGTTCTGGCGGAACCTCATATACTCTAAAGAGAGGCCTCGCTGCAGGTGATAGTTTTGCAGTATCGAATCAATTATCGCTGTCGTTCTAACCGCATATCTCAGCCCCGCCAACGTCACCAACGTCACCATATATCACTCATACTCTCACTACGAACCAGAAAAGCTCCAACCTTCAAGAACAACGGGAGGTGAAACGAATTCCATTCCATTCCTATGTACGCTACCTGCTCGAGCCCCCTGGTACATTCCCGTTCGCATCGAGGGCGAAGATGGGCTGAATATCCGGTTGTTGTTTTATTGAGTTGCTCAAGGAAGCAGCGGCAGCTGGCAGGTAGTACGTGGTGAGGGCGGCTGTACCGCCCCGCCACACCCAGCACTAGCTCATGCTCAGGCAGGCGCTCACCTATTATAGTCAGCACCGCTATAGTAAACACGACCAAGCAATCCGGCCAGCTAGGTAGAGAACATACTTACGTCTTTCTTCGTTTCTTTGCGAGAAGTTCAGTCGGATTGAGGCTCGCGATCGATCTCATGTCTGTATTCGGCCGACGCTCTCGGATAGCTCTTCGAAGTATGCCAGCTTCGGCCCACCAATCCGCAGGATTCTGGGGACACCATTCTCTATTGCTTGCCCCTTGCCCCCCTCCCCGGGTAGCACGGCTGGGATGTGATTTCCCAGGGCGCAATGGCTCATTGAGATCCAATGCGCGCCACCCGAGTGGCGCTGGAGGCGCTGGAAGAGCAGGAGGAGGAGGTGAATTATGAGGTCCATATAGACGTGAGGTATTATTGTAATTGTCGTATGTAGTTGTCACGGTTGGCGTGGTTGTAGTGATTATGGTGGTCGTAGTCGTAGTTGTCGTGGTTGTATTATTGTTATGTTGTATTTCTGTGTCGTATCTTTGCTATTGTGAAGTGAAGTGAAGAAGGAAGGAAGAAGTGATGGGAGAGGAAGACGGTACAAAGGGTGGTTTGTGGACCGTGGACGGTGGCCCGTATGTGACGAACTTCACGAACGTCCAAGACTGTACGAAGGGTAGGGTTGCGGCCCTTCCGCCGAGCTTCCACGCCGACTAATCGAGCATCTACGCCGACTACCTAATCGAATTCCACAATAAAACTAGGACCGTCAGTGCTAGAGTGAGTATAGAAGTATAGAAGTATAGAATTACGCAGTGCTGGCTAGCCAAGTAGGTACTCGAGAATCGGCTTGCCCGGTAGATACTCGAGAACGATATGGGCGTAATCCACTGATCCCACCGGGAAGTGACGGGTGTAGTAGGTTGTAGGTACCCGACAATTTCGAAGATCCGCTGCCAGATGGCCAGCCATTCTGCACTCTGCAAGTACTCGACAAGTTCGACGATCCGCTGGTAGATGGCCAGCCAGCCACTCTGCACACATCACATTAGATCACATCCAAAAGCCTTGAGCCGTGTAGTAGAGCGTGACGTATACAAGGAAGAAGATAGCTGTAGATGTAGATGTAGCCGGTCCATAGCCGTAGCCGTAACTGCTGCAGGGGTTCCACCCGACTCGAGTGCTCCCACATGAGCCGCCTGTGGGACTGTCCACCACAGAAGTTCGCCGTTCACAAATTCACTACATACTTAACAGTGGACTTCGCTTCCGGTGCGGTCCATGGACTCCGTCGAATCTATGAATGGTGGCGATATCCGTGCTTGTATCCCTCTTCCTCTCCCTCCCCTTGTGCACCCATCACGCTCAACAATTGCGCTCAATCTTGACCTCCAACCTTCACCTCCATCTACTCGTCCTCCGATCCTCTAAACGCGCCGAGTAGGTATATACCGGCTATCAAACTTTACCCACCCGGCGAAGTTTGCACGAATAAGGTTGCACGAATAAGCTTCCGTGGTGGATTGATGGACGGGTGGACGGCCGCGACCGAGTGTCGACGAGCATGTGGTTACGCGGCAAACTTTACGCGGCAAACCTTCATACTCCTTCGGTAGAGAGAGCTCTCGCTATTGATGATAATTTTGCTGTATCTATGGAATCAAGTATCGCTGTCGTTCTATCCGTATAGGTATCTCAAAACTGGCCAACTCAAGCCTACTGTAACCACCGATCTCAGCCCCGCCAACCCCGCCAACGTCAAGAAGCATCACTAAGCATCACTCACTCTCTCACTTCGAACTGCAAAATCTTTAACTCCCAAGAACGGGAAGTGAAATGAATTCCATTCCTACGACACCGCCTGCTCCAGCTTTCCAGCTTCCCAGCACTTCTTCTTCCCCCTCTCCGTCCGTTTTGCCTTGCTTCCCAGCACTTTTCCATCACTTTTACCGTGCTTCCAGGCTTCCAGGCTTCCACGCTCCATCACCACCCCCCGTTCCCCTGCAGCCCAACCCAGCCCATTGTCCCCACAATGCCCAACCCCCAAACCCACCCACCCGAAAGAAAGAAAAAGGAAAGCCCCAAACGAGCAAAAAGAAAATCCCCCCTGAAAAGAAAAAAGCGAAGAAAAAAGAAAGAAAAAGAATAAAACTCCCAGAACGACCGTTGCCGTGACCGTGTATGAATGTCCATGTATGATGTGCGTATGTGCAAGTAAGCCAGTAAGTCAGTAAGATAGTAGTGAACGAAACCCCTCCAATGCAATCTTCAATGCCCCCATGAGAAAGGAAAATAACAGCTAAAAAATGCCATGATCGAGAGAAAAGTGAAAAGAAAAAGAAAAAGGAAAAAAGCCGAGCAGAGTGATGTGATTTCAGTGACCGAAGCAGAAAGAGAAAGGGAAAGGGAAGAATCCCGCATATGTGCAAAACAGTGCAAAACAGTCGCAAAACAAACTGAAACGCAAGCGCAAATCATCGACAACCGAAACCGTCTATATTCCCGCACAAGAGGCCGACAAAGGAAGCAAACTTCAAACGACCACACTCCCGAGGTACCCATGCTCCCCGACAATCTCCCTTTGCCACGCCATCTCGCCGACGACCTGTTCGCGCAGACACTCTAGCGACGGCACTGCCCCCACCACCACCACCACCACCACTACGGGGAGAGGTTGCGCGCGCCTTACCCTGAACCAATCCCGCGTCGGCGCCTTTCAGCTCATCAAAGTTGTAGTATTTCGGAAACGCGACATCGACAGGCGTAGCGAGCTCGTCCTCGTCGTCCTCGCTGCTGTAGAAGGAGCTGTACATTCCCGGGCTCGGGCTTAGGCTGGGGCGGTCGGGGTTCTGCGAGTACACCGATGACGCGGTCGAGTGGGGGTGCGTGGTGGGCATGGGGAGGATGTACTGCGATGCCTTGGGTGTGGCGGCGTCGTTGCTGCGGAGGTAGCCGACGATGTCGGCGATGGCGTCCTCGTCGCGGCGCGGTGGCGATTGCAGATCCTCTTTCGACTCCAGTCCGTCCGAGGCGGGGGTGCGGTAGCCCATCCGGAGTAATGCGGTCGATACGCTGAGCTGCAGTCCCCATCCCCGCCGTCGCTTGGGCTTGGGCTGTTCCTCCTCCTGGCCTGGCGATGCAAGGGAGCTCCTACGCGCCCTTAATCGCTCCCGGAAGGTGTTGCCTTTCCTGCCGCTGTTGTTGTTGTTCTCGATATGCCGTGGTTGCTGCGGATTCGGCTGCACGAACGCTTGCATGAAAGTATCATCACCGTCTCCATCGAAATCAGCAAACACCGACGAGCCGATGGTACCCATCGACGAAACCGGAGTATCCGACCGCTCCACCTGCTGTTGTTGCGCAAACTTGACCGCCGGCTCCGGCGTCGGCGGCAACTCGACCGGGACGAACAACGTCGACATTAACCGGCCGGTGCGTGGATGTACCGCTAGCGACGATGGTAGCGATTGCGGATCGGGCATGACATTTTTCCGGTCCAGCAAGAACTAATTATCCGCACGCACGGGTCAGTACACTCGCGTGGGTCGGTACCCGGGGGAGAGTGTCCACTCCGGATGTAGGGCACGCACATAATAAAAATGCTCACTCCCCATCTCGAGGCCTCCATTGAGCGTCAAGATGGCCTTCCAGACATCGCGGCCAACGCGCCTATCCTGCTCCAGCGGCATGGCAGTGCTAAAGTTATCCCACGATCCGACGACGTCGATGGTGCTGGCATAAGTAGATGGCGGTAAGGTTCTACGCCCGTCAGTACATGTCCGCCTCCCCCGCCCCCGCCCTCGCAGCTGAATTGGAACTTGGAAGGGTAGCACACATCCGGAAGGAAACATGTGTCCTCGGCCGCCATTCGGGAGACGATGTGGGACGTGTTGGACGGAAGTTGGACATCGTGTGTGTATGTGTGTGTGTGTGTGTACGTGCGTGTGTGTGTCTGTGTGTTGACAGGTGCGATGTGACGAACCTTATTCGATCGGAAAGTCAGTTTCGACCGCGAAAGCAGGGAGAGTGGGTGAGTGAGTGCGCTGCGCACCCGAGTAGCAGGCCGAGCGGACGGACGGGCAATGGAAGTGGAAGTGGAAGTGCTGACCTGGACAGGCGGGCGGGCAGGCAGGCGACGGGAGTCGATCAAGTGCCGATGCGGATGTAGATGGATGGGGTGCGTAAACGTGGGTAGTACCCGGGTGATGCGCAGCTGCAGCCGACGGATCAGATTCCGATGGATGGGCAGGGAGACTTCGAGACGTGGGAGGTGGGATTTGGAGACGGAGACGTGGACGTGGAGGCGGATCGAGTCGAGAATGGAGTGTAGTATGGTAGGTATGAGCAGGACTCGACGAAAAGTTATCGTTGAGCAGCAGCTAGGTGTAAGTATAGTATTTAGGTGCGGCTAGAGTAATGAGGACTCGACTCGGGAGTGTGGTGGGGGGGAAGAAGGAAGGGGGGGGCGGGGCGTGGGGCTGGACTGGCTGGGATGGGGGGCGGGAGAGAATGAATGGAGAAGGAAGAGAAGCCTGGTGGTTTAAGCTGAGCTGAGCTGAACTGAACTGACGGTGCTTGTGCTGGTGCTTGTCTTGTTGTCGTCGATATGTACCTATGTATCTACCTAGAATACCTAGAAGATGTGGATGGTTACCTAGAGTACATCCTGGGTATTCTGGGACTGCAGATCACATCTGGCTGGCCAGTAGCAGCAGCAGCAGAGCCACCACCAATACAAGCGTAATCCCACCACCACCAATATGTACCAGCACCAACAACTGCAACCCAACCACCACCACCACCACCACCACCACCACCAGGCAATCGAGAGAGAGAGAGAGAGAGAGAGTCGCCTAATCCAGTCACGCTGCGCGATTGATCTCAATTGCGCGGATGTCCGACGCGCTCAACCGTGGTTGGTGTCTTTCTTTGCTTTTTTCTCTCTTTCCCCCGGCCGTCGATGCAGCAGGACGTGTACTCCCAGACATCATACCAGACATGTACCGTATCCTGATTAGTGTCCGCTCCGGCAAGTACTCACTCTACTCTACAGCAGTCTTGCCATCTTGCCAGCGAGACGGACTGACAGAGGAGACACGGTGGATATGGATGGCCGCAAGACGGCGGCGGACGAGAGCGCGCGCGCGCGGAGGAGTCTCGAGAATAAAGATCTGTGGATATCGGATGTTCGCTCGACGCTCGCTCGCTTGGCTGGTGGATACCTGGGAATAGGCAACAGGCAACAGGCAGTATGTAATACGGAAGGCCACAGGCAGTGTCAATGTGTCCCCATGCAAGTGCAGTGCGGTCGGTCGGCAACATGCGGGGAAGATACGGTATTGAAGGAGAGGCGCGAAACAGCGGAGAGGAATGACTGCCTGAAGGCCTGACTGCGCACCGGTGTGGAGGTGGAGGTGGAGGCGGCGGAGGAATTCTCCACAGCTGACGAGAGATACGGATGATAGGCGTGTGCAGTCTGCAAGCCTCTCGAGCAATCACAACACAGGCTCCCACCTTCATTTCGCGCGAGGATCAGCCTTGAAGGAGGAGCGAATGAACGAATGAAATCGGGGCTGATGTTACTCTATTCTACCTATGGCGGAGACCTCAGACAGACGCTCACGCACCAACCAGAACCACCGCATCCATCACGGCTCTTCGCCGTCACGCCGCCGCGCCGCCGCCGTCGCCGCCGATCACATCGCGATGATGATGATGATGATGCTCTAGAGTAAACTAGCACTTTGGCCTAGCAGTGTAGATACTAGCAGCTACCCAGTAGCGTACCAGCGATGCAGCGAAACAGAAAACTCCCGCAAGCCAGGGGCTCCCGCTGGCCCATCCTCGCTCAATTTGCTTGTGGCCTTGCTGTGGCCATACAACCGCCCTATGAGTACAATAACTACCGCCATTCCCTCTCTTCAATCTTCAATCAATCACAACCAGAAACCAACAACAATCGAACACAAACCGATTAATATTCCTCATCTCCGTAACTATCGCTGGCCTCCCTCAATCCCAATCGCCCTCCCCAACTTCCAATTTCCCAATTTCCCAGATGCCCTCCAAGAGAGATGATCCTGGTCCGCCACGCCACGCCCCCATGTCCAGCTAGTTGGTTAGCTAAGACACTCGGGACTTGCTTGCTTGCCACGGAGATAGATGGTAGAGATGGTCTACAAGCGAGACGGAGATTGGAATTTTTGCATTCTCGGTGGAAAAGTGAAGAAGGGAGGGAAGTGACGATTCCGTAGATAGGGAGATAGGGAGTTGGTTATCTACTACCGTAGAAGCGAACCCACGTGTTGCGGGTCATGATGGGAGTGATGGGAGTCGTGATGGGAGGGAGGGAGACCGACCCTTAGAGTAGGTACATGTTATGCAAGTACCTACGTGTCGTCTCAGACTCTCAGACTCTCAGACTCTCAGACTCTCAGACTCTCAGACTCTCAGACTCTCAGCTCCTGCAATGCAATGCAATCCTCTTCTCCTCTTTTCTCTTCTGTACTCTTCTCTGCAGTATGAGGTATGTACCCACCACGCCACTCGCCGCCTTGTATGTACATACGCCGCAGACCTTTGAGTCCAGCGTGCATTTCGGCGTGCATTTCGGCGAGGCTTTCGGCATGCATATCGTCACGGTGACGCCGACGCTGCGTCGGACGCCGGGGGTGATCTACTCTAATCTGCAGCTCAAAGTGCATTTGCTGGGAATCATAGTATGTAGAGTAGAGTAGAGTAGAAAACACTCTACACCAGACCGGCCAGCCTCCGAGTCTCCGACATCACATAAGGCACGGCGCGGCGGTCGCAGGCATGGCGGTCGCAGGCATGAGGTGAATGGTGAACCTGGTCTGCGGGTGGGGTGCGGGTGGGGTGCCAGCAACGAGCATATCTAGAGCCCGGTGGATGTGGCGGTGGCGGTAGAGGTGGCGGTGCATGGCCTGATGTAACCTGCGAGCTGCGGCGGGTAGGAAGGGCGGGCGGCATAATTATCATGAGCGGGCGGGCGGCTGTCCAGACTCCAGACTCTAGGCGCAGTGTAGTGGGTGTGCTTATGCAAATGCAAGCCACTTTCCTTTCCTTTCCTCGTCGGTGGCGGCAGCAGAGGACGGATGAACGGGCGGACGAGCGAGCGGGATGACGGGCGGGCGCTAGAATGCCTATCGTGGGGCTGAGCTGGAGATTGTGGCGATTGTGGCGATTGTGGCGATTGTGGCGATATGATAAGAACGGTGGCGTTCGTACATAGACGAACTGGCCGTGGCTATGTCATAGGTAGAGTACTAGAGGAAGTGAGAAGTTGGTAAAGGCTGAATTCCAGCCCTCGAGTGTCTACTCAACCCGAGAATTCGCCCGTGTCGCTCACATACGGTATGTGCCGGTACGGTATCCTCGCCGCCCAGAAGCAATGTTCTCGCACGCCTCGGCCAGCCTCGCCCAGTCGAATTCCTACATACGGACCCGACGGGCGCTAGTCGGACATCGTCACCTCTTCGAAAATCCTATAGTTTTTTCGACCGCGCACACTTCGGCACGAGGTTTGAGAGGCTCCGCGACCAGACTGCTAGGATTCGCGGATAGTCCTCTCTCATCAACGACTTGTCCGTCGGGCCGATTAACTGTCGGTCACTTTGGGCCGATTAACTATCGGTGCTCGTCAGTCGGGCCGTTCTACCTAACTCTCGGTCACTTTGGGCCGATTACCGGTAGCTATGGGTTTCGACACACTTGTAAGTCGTGCTACTTTATTCGGTCGAAGGACGGCGACGAACGCGCACTCCGTCAGGTCGGCGTCGAGAGCGACACCGACAGACTACAGCAACGGGTCCTCGCCGGTACGTACTGGTACATTATCATACGCCCAGCATTGTCATGACCATACCCAAGCTCTGAGCTTTGAGCCCTGGCGCTGTCGCTGTCGCCCTGGCGCTGTCGCCTTGTCGGTAGAGTACTTTGAAGTTTGGTATGACTTACGTGATGATCTGTGAGACTGTGTTCTGTGACACTGTGAGACCGAGCTAACTAGACTCTATGTAGAGTCTATGTAGAGCACGAGCGCTGATCTATTTTCGTGCGAGTAGCTCCCGGCTCGTCACGCCAAACTCCAGTGCTCCACACGGCTATGCTTCACCGTGCATCTACACAGCCTCGATTCTGGAAGCACGAAGTATTTACCGTATGTAGAGTACTCCATATGCAGACTCCGGTTATAGATAGACTTACGGTTCCGTCGAATAGGCGAAGCTCGCCGAGAACTCTCTGTTCCGTCGATCGACTTGCTTTCGATGTGGGGGGCAGACTGCAGACTTCTGTCACTCGGTTGTCACTGGTGGAGTATCTGCTTCTGGTCCGTCTTCCGGGGCCGCGTACGCCATCCATCGACATCTACTCTACGCCCTTCGTCCGACAGACAGGCAGACAGTCGGACGCCGGATAGGCATGCTCGACCAACCTGGGATCACCCCCGCCCGGGCTGACGCCGAGCACGATTGTTGTGTCCACTGTCTGCCATACGGGCCTCAGGAATTGAGGACAGCAAAGATCGTCAGCTTCCTCCGGCGTCTCCCTCTTCCTCGTATCATACTCGTCAGGACTCCACCGCCAAAAAACAAAATGGAGAAAAGCACCCAGCATGTGCCGTGCGCATTGATTACTCCACCTATTGGCTGGCTGCATCCCTGTGTCGTTCGCATGTACTCCACGTACTGCACATCATGGGTAAGAGTGCCCACGATAATACGGCACTTACCCCGCTTCGCTCACCCCCACCACTCCTCCTCCTCGCCAGCTCTGAGCTCACTCGCCAAAGCTCACTCGTCCGACTCCATGACTCCCTCCACCAGCGACTCGGTAATCCACTGCCGGCCATGTCACCGACTGCCTCCTGCGGAAATACTCCATCGTACCCTGGAGGTACCAGTACATCACCCATCACACAACCCAGTGTTTTCAGCACAGCAATATAAATCGGAGCAAAGTATCATATCACCAAGCCCCCATTCGCCCAGTCCCATTCGCCCAGTCCCATTCGCCCAGTCCCATTCGCCCAGTCCTGTCCCAGCCCGTCCGTGCATGAAGTACAACACTCCACACAAGTAACCACCGAGTGTGTATGTAGAGTAAAGCGAAGTCGCAGATTACACCGCAGCGGCGGGGCTGATCTGCTGCACTGCTGCACTGCTGCAGAGTGTGATGTGCCTCGCCGTGAATGGCCAGGCCGGCACCCACACACAAACTCGCGCTCTCACTCTGCCGTAACCTATCGCGCGAAAGAGTCGGAGTCTGCGTGGGTGGGTGTGGGTGGAGTGTGAGTGGAGTGTGTGTGGGACGAGGAAGGGACGGTGAGGAGTCGGGCATATCATAAAGAGGCGTGCCCCTTCTCCGCTGCGCTGGGGGAGGGAAGGGAGGGAGAGCCTAGAGGAGACTGAATATTGAATACTGAAGGAGAGCTCACTGTTCCGGACCGGCCGAACAAATCCCACCGCCCACCTATCCCATCCACACACCACCCAGCACCCCGCACCCCGCAGCAATGGCACCCCGCGCGCACCCCCTCCCAGCGCCCATCCCGCTCGCGCACGCCCTAGCCGACGCACACAAAAACGGCTGGAACGACGATACGGACGACACGGACTCAGACGACGACGACCGGCGATGGCGGCGCCCCTCCAGCACCTCCACCCCCACGGGCACGTCCGCCGCCGACCTTGCCAACGGCAACGGCGTCCCCACCGGCGCCTCGCTAGTCTCCTCCGGCAACAACAACGAGAATAGTATCCACCCCGTGGCGATAATCCTGCCCGTGCTCGCGGGCGTAGCCCTGCTGCTACTGGCCATAGGCGGGTTCATGATCTGGCGGCGCCGCAGGCGCGCCGCCGCCGCCGCTGCTGCTGCCGCAGACGGGAGCATGGGGACGGAGACGGAAATGAGTGTTGCTGCGTCTGCTGCTGAGAGCACGGCGAACCTCCGCGGCGGAGCGGGCGCGGGCGGCACGGCAGCGTATGGCGAGAAGGTACCCCCCCCCCCCCCCCCCCCTGCCCCCCCCGACTGATGCTGGATAGTGCTGGATAGTGGTAGTGGTGTTGGATGTGGGCTGATGATGATAGTACTACCCCGGCCCCCCCGGCGCCGAGATCCCGCCGCGGTATGAGGACTCCCAGCGCGACCGGAGCGTCAGTGTCAGCACTGTGAGCCGCCATGAGGACCCGTTTGCCGATCCGTATGAGCGCGGGCTAGACCACAGCCATGGGCATGGGAATCGGGATGAGGATGATACGCCCGTTAGTCCTGTCAGTGAGACTGCTGCCGAGAGGGGCGTCGTCGCCGATGGGTATAGACATGAGGGGCGGTAGGTGCGCGTATGGGGAGGAGGGAAGGGGGAGTCGCTGAGGGGTGGGAACTTGGATGGCGTTTTTTTGGTTTTGGTTTTGGGTTGGTTTGGGATGTGGATGGCGGTGCGGTAGGTGTTGGTAATACGTTATCTACTTTTATCTACTTTGCTTGTGCGGATGGATGGGTGGAAGGATGGATGGACGGACGGTTTATTCATGAGTTATGTGCCTGTGATGGAGTATCACGATTCATCAGACCGTGAGTAGTGAGCAGTGAGTAGTGAGCAGTGAGGAGGGCGGGGCGATCCCAGTGCTCGCCCGGTTGAAGTTGGGGAATGACTATCCGCCGCTCTCGAAATGATGAAACAGGGCTCGTATCTATGATATGCCGACGCCTTCTTCACTTTTCACTAGATACCAGTAGCCTCTGCAGATACCGCCGCCTTCTTCACTTTTCACTAGATACCAGTAGCCTCTGCAGATACCGCCGCCTTCTTCACTTTTCACTAGATACCAGTAGCCTCTGCAGATACCGCCGCCTTCCTCACTTTCCAGTGTCCACAGTCCACTACCGTCGTCTCTGCTCAGTGCAGATACCGGAACTTGAAAGCACCATGCATTGTCTTTCTTCAGCCCTACCAGTTACCGTAGTACCTCAACAAATCCCCAAATCTACAAGTGCATCCATACACGTCTGGCACTGCACTTTCCTCTCTCTGCCATCCCTTCGGGCACCAGGCTTCAGCCGTTCATTCCCGGGGACGATTGCGCGCGGCTCGAGCTGGTAGTACACTGAGGAGAAGTACTAGGTACTCTCCAGTCAAACTCACCCCCCTCCTCCTGCTCTTGGCTTCAGTAAGGTTTGGTCACCGAATCTTCCCTGCGATTTTTTTTCGCCGGCTCCGAGTGACAGTACATGAGCGCGATGTTTCTCGGAAATACCCTACATACTGCGCATGCCTGCACATGCCGTAGAATATCCTTCCAATGCACCTCCGATGCGTATGCCGCGTTGCAGAGGATCGCTGAGGCCGAGGTGGTTTCGGACCAGGCCACTACTATACCTACCACACCTACTAGAGACCCGATGTGATTCGATATGGGCTGTTGGATATGCGCTCTGCCGAGGAAACGTGACATACATACTCTAAATACTAGTAGTCTAATAGGTGGAGGCCCGATGATCGATCTTCGAATACCTACCCAGGTACCTATGCTGTGCATAAAGTCAGCGATCGCCTCAAGATCGACTGCGGGTGCGGGGAGCGTATGATGATCCCGCCACCACCTCCAGCTGTCATACGATCGGTACCTAAGATCTAGGGGACGGGAAAATGAGTAGATCGCGTGAGCACTGAAGAATGACGACGGTGCTGGTGCTGGTGTTGACTGGTCGCTGGAGGTTCGCATAGAGTACATACCAGGTACTCACTTCTCGCCGTCGCATCCGTTGCGGTGAGTTTGCGAGTTTAAACGGCCCTGGGACACTAGGTACGCCGGCAAGGATTTACTTTCTGCCGGGCTGCCGGCGAGGATAGAGCATCTACCGGTATCCAGTGAACGATCCGAGTGGACTGTGGGACGCGAGAAGGCGGACTTTTGCACACATGATGCAGCTCATCACTATGCGCGAGGACGGCGTGGAGTTTACTCTACATTCTCCACATAGCACGGTACAGCTCTCAAAGCCAAGAAATCTAGCACGATGATGTCAACCACCTCGAAAGGCTTGTCCCAAAGTTCAAAGTTCAAAGTTCAAACACCGGCAAATTCCACCCCAAAATAGCCCCCTTTAATAAATTAGCTGCGATAACCGGCCGCATCATCGCTCCAGCCCGTCGGTCGCACCACAGCCGTAACAAGCATGGCGCGGGAGGGATGCATGCGTGCAGTTACGGCATGTCCTCCCTTCAAAGTTCTCCAACCCATCCGGGAGATTTTTCCGCTTGCAGCGCAGGTTCTCTCTCTATCTCTTTGTCTCTGTCTCTCTCGGTCTCTTCTGCCCCCTCGTCCACGCCTGTCTGTGTCTGTCTTTTCCGTCCGTTCGCTGCTTCTTCAGCTTCATTTTTCTCCGCTGGTCGATCGCTGCCCCGATCGGGTTACACGCTCTTTTCTCGCTCCCTCCCCCCTTCCTTCTCTCCTTTCTGACGTGTGCGCGCGATCCGATCCATTGACCGCCCCCTCCCCTCCCGCCCCCCCCCCCCCCCCGCCCCCGTTACACACTCCTTTCCAGCTTCAACCGCCCACCCCCGTTTGCCGTCGTCCGTCCTCGTTTCCTTCCCGCACAAGCAAACGAACGAACGATCAATCGAGCGAATCATCAGCCCGCAAGCCCTCCACCACCACGCACTTCCGCGCTCCCCACCGCCCCCTATCGCCGCCTGCGCCGCCCATGCCCGCCACCGGCACACACTAGCCCACACCCCACCTCCTTACCTCACCCTCTACCTCACCACGCAATGCAGCCACCACCACCACCGCCGCTCTCCCCCGTGCCGGAGGACTCAATCTTCATCTCCCGGATCCCCTCCCGCTCAGAGCCATCTCTACACCAGCAGCCGCACTCCACACCGCCCCCCTCCCGAAGCGGCGGCCTCGGCGCGCCCCACTCACGACACTCCACCGGCGGCGCGGGGGGCGCGCGCGGCCCGCGCGTACCGCGCCGCCAGCCGCCTACGCACCCTCACCCGCGGCCGGTGTCGTTTCCGCCGACGTCGGCGATGCGCGCCAGCTGCGATCTGGTCTATGATGGTAATGGGTCGAAGGAGAGTATCATCGCGTCTGAGTACCTGAGGCAGGTTGGGGGGGAGTATTATGGGCCGAGGATTGTGAGGGGTTTCGATCTTGAGGGGGGAGGGGGGAGGGGTGGGGGGACGGATACTGTGACCGTCGCGAGCAGTATGAGTGAAGAGGTCGAGACGAGGCGTGAGTTCTTCCTTGGACGCGGGGATGGGGGGAGGGGGTTATTGGGGGGGGGATGGGGACATTGGGGGATGGGGACAATGCTGACAGTGGACAAACAGCGCTCTACAGACGCACTTGGGTCATCGCTATATACGTCGGGATAATGTTTACCATCATTGCGCTGGCGGCGGCGCTGGGCGTCGTGCTCAGCTAACCGCCACTACCACCGGTACACTGCCTGCAGGGGCTGGGCGTTTATATTCTTTTCGGTTCCTTTCGCGGGTTCTGGAGGGAGGGAGGGAGGAAGGGAGGGAGGGAGGGAGGGAGGGAGGGAGGGAGGGAGGGAGGCATTATACCCATCGTTCGTCGTTTTTATTCTTCTTTCTCTTTCTATTACCTTAGACATGCGGCGGTGGTGAAAGCGGGCGGGTGCGTGTCTGCACACACACACATACTTTATTGCGAGCCTACCTACTTCCTACCCTAAGTACATACACTCATACACTCATACATCCGCCCGGTCGGTGTACATACGACAGTACCGTACTTACTTCTTACACTGTTATTATCCTATCCTATTCTATCCTTCTTGTTCTTTACCATAGCTTGCTTGCTTGTCGGCGGACTTAATACTCACCTACGGAGCGGGCGTTGCATTGCGCCCCTTTTACTCTACGTCGTCATTCGCCGTTCGTCGTTCGTCGTGTTTGTTGTGTTTGTTGTGTTTGTTGTGTTTGTTGTGTTTGTGGTGTTTGTTCTGTTTGGCGTGCAGATGTTGCGGCCGGAGATTGGTGTATTTGCTTCTTTTGTTTCTTTCTTTCGATTTCTAGATGGAGCGATGGTGGTGGTGGATGGTGGGTGGTAGGGGGAGAGGGAGAGGGCGGGGGTGGCGGATGGGATGGGGTGGGATGAGATGAGATGGGATGGATGTTTGTATGCACATACTTATCATGCAAAGACTGGGAGACTGGAAGACTGGAAGAGAGCGTATGCAGGTATGGGAGTATGGAGGGTATGGAGGTATGGAGGTGTGGAGGTATGGAGGTATGGAGGTTGAATGTACATGTTGAGATGAGATGATACCGTAGTGGCAGTGTATGGAGCTATGAAGCGCAGAGGTGATGAAACGTAGAGGAATGGAAGAGGAATGGAAGAGGGAATGCATATTACATAGAAGTTGCCGGGAGCGATTGGAGTTTACTTGTGACAGTGGTCATTGATGGGACTGGACCATGGTACCTGAGTTGCTGGCACGTGATACTAGACACCGTACCTATCTCGTGCTCGTGCTGGTGCTGTGACAAAGCAGCTCAGCCACGGGATCCGCTGTGGCTGCCCTGCGTCCGTGGTCCCGTCGGGATCACTCGTTGACTTCCCATACAACTCTGGTTTGACAGGTATTTTCAACGACTGTGGCACACGCCGAAACCCGGAATCACGCACCGTATCCCATTATGTACGCACACAGCGCAGTTTGAATCCATCCCTCCGTACTTCCCACCCGCTCCGCCAACACCGTATGTACATACACCCTCATACACCCTCATCGTTACATACGGGACCAAACATCGTCTGCCACATCGCATCGCATGGCACCGCACCGCATTTGATCCGCACACCCGCACCCTGCACCCGTAAAACTCTACACATACATACACATGGATGGGTGGATAGCCGCATGCTCCATGATTCATGGTTTCGGATCCTCGCTCCCCATCCTCCTGCTGTGTGTGCCTTCTCTGTTGAATGTTCTGCCCGCCCCTTGTACATGCCGTATGATGTATGATGTATGTATGTACTCTATAGTATGGCGGAGGTGCACATGGACACCTTGCTGGCCCCGCCCAACCCAACCCAACATCGTCATACTTCTAAGTTCTCTTCGCCCACCGTAGGTGCGAAACGAAAGAAACGAAAGAAATATCTTCCACCATCCCTGGTAGGCTGGTGGAATAGCGTCTCGTTTCGTCTCCGGCCTTTTCTAGCGTGATAAAGTAGGTAAGATAGTGCCCCTCGCTCCACCCCGCTCCGCTCCGCACCGCACCGAGCGAGAAAGTGAAAACCGTAGCGACCAGTCAGTTCACTTCTGTTTCTCCTCCTCAAGCTCCTCCTCGTCCTCCGAAGTTCCGAACTTAACCCACTGCAGGTCTGCAAAGCTATTTAAGCTCGTGATGGATGATGTGTCCCTTGCATATGCAGGCTCCCTCGCTCGCTCCCACCAAGGTGTTTGCAGTTTGCAGATTTCTCCGAAGTGGGGGGTTGGTGAAGTGAGTGAGTATCGTGGTGGTGGGGGAGGGAGGGGTGGGGAGGGGTGTTTTTTCTCCCCGACGAGCGAGTGCAAGATGCGGGGTCCCGCTGTTGTAACCGCAGGGAGGAGGAGGAGAAATACGAGGAGGAGGAGGGGAGGAGAAAGAGGGCTGCGTTTATCATGGTGGGCGTGTCTTCCTGTTCTGTTCCCCCCCCCCCCCCCCCCCCCTCTCCGCCGACAAGACCAGACCAGCACAATCCAGCAAGAACCTCACCCTGCTCTCATGAGTTCCGCCGCGACCCTACCCGCTCCCTCCTCTCTGCCGCCGCCTGCGCGCGCCGTCGCCACGCCCACGGCCGCCCCCACTTCCACGCCCACAACTGCGATCACCGCCTCGATCCTGCGCATCTACGCAGTATTCCAGCGCTCTCCGTCGCTGGGGCCGTCGCCGTCCGTAAACGCCGCCTTCTCCGAGCTTGTATCGCTATGCATCCGGCCCTACGACTCCGCCACCGCCGCCGCGATCCTCGAGGACCGGCGGGTCCGCGCCATCGCGAACGCGCTGCGCGCGAAGTGCTCAGAGGGCGAGTTCCTGCTCGAGGCGTGGTGGGCTAATAGGATCCTGGCGGAGGAGGGGAGGGGCGAGGAAGGTGCGTACCCCTCTCCGCGGCGTGTAGAGTTGTGGTAGTGGTGCTGATGACAGCAGCATGGACCTCACTCCGCGCCTTCCCCTACTACCAGAACTACATGGACCTATCTCGTCTCGAGCTGTCCGCGCTCGCCGCGGTACACCCTGCGCCCATCGGCTCGCTCGCATTCATCGGCTCCGGCCCGCTCCCGCTAACCTCGATATGCCTGTCCACCCTCCTCTCACCCCCGCCGCGTCGAATCCACAACATCGACATGTCCCCACAGGCAATCAGCGTATCGCGCTCGCTGTGCGCGCGGCTCGGCGGGGCCGCCGCACGGCTGTCCTTCGAGTGCGCGGACGCCAAGGAGGTCGCGCTCGAGGAGTTTGATGTCGTTGTGCTCGCGGGGCTGGTGGGTGGCAGTGCAAACGAGAAGCGAGAGATTCTTAGGAGCGTGGTGCGCAGGTGTGGGAATGGTGCGCTGCTGATGTTGAGGAGCGCACATGGTGTGAGGAGGCTGCTGTATCAGGAGGTTGAGCTCGCCGAATTGCAAGCGCTTGGCTTGGATGTGCTACTGGTTGTGCATCCATGGAATGAGGTGGTTAATTCTGTTGTCGTTTGTAGGGTGAGGGAGAGGGGGAGGTTGTAGATGCGTGGGAGCGGGAGGGGTAGAGGGTGGCTAGATGGTAGAGGGGGATTGCGAGGTGCGTGGAGTTAGGCGTTGGTTGCTTGCGTGCGAATAAAGGGAAATTCTATCCGGCCTACATATCCGGTGCAGTCATGGGAAGGCACTCGCGCGGGGCGTACTTTTGTGGGTGCTCATTGACGTTGGACGACGCGTAGGCGTGCTGCATGGAGTCTCTACGGTACGGCACCGCGGAATGAAAAAAGCAAATAACGAAAGCTGCATACTGCGATGAGTCCGACCGACCGACCTTCCTCAACCAATCGGCCGGAGGAACTGTGGCCGGCTACCCGCCCCATGGGGAAGCTCTCCGGATCCCGGGTATAAGTACTATCTAGACTCTAGAGTACCATACATACATACAGCAAAGTAAGTCAGGGGCATTTAGAGAGAGACAACCGACTGCGGGATGGAACTCAGCCGACTGCTATGTATGAGGAGAATGCGAACGTCACGACATAAATACGATATGCACATACATCCCATCTACTACTGTATAGCAGGCTGATCTCGCCTTCCGACTTTCCGCACTGATTCTGCCTGATCACCTCGGACAGGTACTTAACGAGCCACATCCAGCGACCTGGTTACGGACTCCCCACGTTTCGTATCGCCATCTCGCCATGCGTCTCCTACTGCAGCTTGTGTTCCTCGCCTCCGCCGCGGCGCACACCACACTGCCAGAATGCCTCCTCGCCGCCTCAGTGCCAGTCCTCACGCCCTCCTCCTCCTCCCCCGCCTCCGCCGGCAACTTCACCACCGCAATCCTCCCGTTCAACCTGCGCCTCCCCTACGTGCCCGTGGCGCTCGCGGTCCCCACCACAGTCTTGCAAGTCTCGGCGGCCGTCGTCTGCGCAGGCCACTACGGCGCAAAAGTTGCCGCGCGCTCTGGCGGCCATAGTTATGCTGCGTTTGGACTGGGTGGACAAAATGGCTCGCTGGTTGTCGATATGAAACGCTTTCGGACGCTGGAGGTGGATGCGGAGACCCAGGTGGCGACTGTTGGGGCGGGGAGGAGGTTGGGCGATATTGCGACGTATTTGTTTGAGAGTGCAGGGAGGGCATTGCCTCATGGGTTGTGTCCTGGGTGAGTACCTACTGCAGTGCGGGGATGGGGGGGTGGGCTGGGTTGACTGGTATAGGGTTGGTATTTCTGGCCATGCCCTCCACGGCGGCTTCGGCTTCACCAGTCGGATGTGGGGGACAACACTGGACACGATCCTGTCGCTAGACGTAGTCCTTGCGAACGGAACCTTCCGGCGCGTCTCCTCCACGCAGCACGCGGACCTATTCTGGGCGTTGCGCGGGGCAGGCTCCTCCTTCGGCCTCGTCACGTCCTTCCGCTTCCGCACCTTCGCGGCGCCCGTCAACGGCGTGGTATACAACTACACCTTCCCTTCCTCCACCTCCCCGGGCGCACAAGCGGCCATCTTTGCCGCCACCCAGGGCTTCGCCCACTCCGCGCCGTCGAACCTCGCCGTGCGCCTGTTCCTGCGCACTCCCGCTATTGAGCTCGGGCCGCAATTCTTCGTCTCTGGCGTGTTCTGGGGGTCCCGCGCAGGGTTCGACAGCACCATCGCGCCGCTGCTCGCCGCGTGGCCGGCAGATACCGTGCACGGCGTCCAGGAGCTGCCGTACCTCGACGCGCTGGTGTCGTTTAATAACGGCGGGCAGCTGCCGCAGCCGAAGGAGTACACTGAGCACGGCACGTTTTTTGCAAAGAGCGTGGTAACGCCGGAAGCGCTGGGGAATGCGAGTCTGGCGAGCTTCTTCGGCTTCGTCGCGGATGCTACCGATGCGCCGGTGCCGTGGTGGGTCATCGCCGACTTATACGGTGGCGCGAACTCGCGGATCAGTAACGGGGACGCGGAGGGCGCCAGCTACGCGGGCAGAACCGCGTTCTTCACGCTGCAGCTGTACTCCATCTCGGATGTGGCGCAGACGGGGCCGTATCCCGCTGAGGGCATCGAGTTTATGGACGCGCTGTCAAGGAGTATTACAGAGCCCCAGGGCGAGACACAGTTTATGGCCTACCCGAATTATGTCGATCCCACGTACAGCGCGGAGGTGGCGCATGGGTTGTATTATGGTGAGAAGTATGAGAGGCTCCTGAGCATTAAGAGGAGGGTTGATCCTGAGATGCGGTTTTGGAATCCGCAGGCTATTGGGGTTGAGTAGGGGATGTATATTGGCGATGTATGTTGTCGAATGAGTTATGAGTGTATGTACTGGCCGTGGACAATCTCTAGAGACCCGAGTGGCAGACACAAGTACCTGTAAATAGCTATGATATCGGGTGATGAGCCATGTTCGATCCCACAGTTCTGTAGCTGTATACCGTAGGTGGGTAATGGGTACATCAATCCACCTCCACCACCGCCACCCAAGAGTAGAGTCCTGACATCTTTCTCTGCCTACTGGGTATGTAGCTGGTAGGATTGAGCTTTGGATTGGCCGGTACGGTACGTCGGTAGTAATACCAGACTCGGGGCGGATGGAGGATGGACGATGGACGATGTGCGGATGGCGGAGGTGAAGATTGTGTCCAATGAGAAGGCTCAGTGCGATGGTTGCACAACGAGAGGAAGACGGAGAGGAAGAGGGAGAATCATATGTAGAACCGGATATATCATATCCCCACCACCACCGCCACCGCCACTGCCAATTCGCGCCGGACATTGGAGTCTATATAGTACACCGGCCGCACCACCGGAAGTGAAGTGCATGCATGCAGAGTGGCTGGATCTGCGGCGGATCGGATCCCCGGGGCCGAACCTGTCAAGCACGCAGATTCTCGAGTAGGTACTAGGTAGGCAGGCCGGCACTGCGTATACGTACTTCTATGCTCACTAACTCTGGCTATGGCGGTCCTAGTTTTATAACTTTTATGGTGGAATTCAATTGGATTAGTCGGCGCGGAAGCTCGGCGTAGAAGCTCGGCACAAGGGCCGCAACCCTACCATTCGTACATTCTTCGACGTTCGTGACGTTCGTCACATACGGGCCACGGTCCACGGTCCACAACCCACCCTTCCCACCGTCTTCCCCTCCCACCACTTCTTCTTCCTTTCACATCACTTCTTCCGTCTTTCACATCACAACACAACACAACTTATCAATACAACAACACAACAGCACAACCTTTTGCCGCTGATCAAGCAGGCCGCCGATGGGCGGGCGGATATCCTTTCGCTTCTCGCCCTACCTCTTCGCCCTGCCCCTCCACCTTCCGCCTTCTCCATCTCATTGGTCGGAGTCATCCGACCAATGAGATGGGGAAGGCCGCACATCACAGCCAATATCCACCACGGTGGTGTTGCGGCCGGGAGCATAGGAGGTCCCCGGGGGGGGCTGCGGGCCCGACGAAAGGCGTAAGTACTTAGCTGGCCGGACTGAGTTGGCTGTGTTTACAATACCGGTGCTGACCATACTAGGTGACGGCCAGCCTGGGCATGAGCCAGAGCTGGAAACCCAATTCCAACGTCTCCCGAAACCAACCACCAACACACATCCGAAAGCCTTTCGCACAGCGCACCTCACGCCACGATGCCACCCCGCGGCACCAAAGAAACCACCATGTCGACGAAGACGGCTGCTACACGACATTCTCTTTACCGACCCGACGTTCCTCAAGCACTTCGCGCAGTTCCAGGGAATGTGGGACCCCCGTAACGACCGTAAGGGTCTGCACTCAACTATGACATCCACAACACAGCCCTTGGGCCTTGGTGGCGGAGATTTATAATTTATCCGACCAGTTGAGTACCTGCCTTCTCTGATCCTATGATCTGTCGTCCGCGACTTGTCTAACCTCTACATCTAGCACCGGAGGAGAGAAGTCATGTTGGGGGTGGTCACGCAGTCTATATTAGAATAGTCCTTCTTCCCATAATACAGCATACCAGCATACCAATACAATAAGTACATTACACTTCGCATCCCTGATCGCTCTTGATGTAATCTTCCAACACGTGACATGTCCAACACTAGGTATTGGAATATTGCATTCATCACATCCATAAGTACCAGTACCAGCAATCCTTCACTGCACATACACGGCGACGGCGGGCGAATATTCAGTCCATCCTCGCCCTCGATACGAGCGGGGATGTGCTGGGCAGCTGGAGCAGGTGGCGTACACAGGAATGGAATGCAATTCATTTCGCTTCCCGTTGTTGAGAGAGAGAGAGATCTTCAGTTTATTTCGCATGCAGCCTAGGTATCTAGACTATGCTTCCCGTTGTTGAAAGTTGAAGATTATGCGGTTCAGAGTGGTTGAGAGTGATTTTCGGTGACGTTGGCGTGGTTGAGCTCGGTGATCAGTTGATGGGCTTGAGTTAGCCAGTGTTGAAATATACGGATAGAACGACAGAGATGATTGATTCGACAAAGCAAAAGTACCATCAGTAGCGAGGCCTCTCTCTACCTGTGTGAGGTGCCGCCTAACGTTTGCCACGTAACCATATGCTCGTAATCATATGTTCGTAACCATATGCTCGTCAACACTCGGTCGTGGCCGTCCACTCGTCCACCGTGGAACCTTATTCGTGCAACTTTATTCGTGCAAACGTCTCCGGGCGGCTAAAGTTTGACGGCCGGTATGGAGGTGGTAGGTAGGCTTGAGTTGGAGTTAGAGTAACCGGTACCGCACTCGCCGCGTTGGGAGAATTGGAGGACGAGTGAATGGAGGTGAAGGTTGAAATTGTTGAGTGCGATGGGTGCACAAGGAGTGGGAGAGGGAAAGGAAGAGGTAGAGGGAGACGGCGAGGAAGAGGGATATACAGGCGCGGATATCGCCACCACCACCGCCACCCCCAATTCGCGATATCATGGAGTCACGGAGTCCATGGACCGCAACACCGGAAGCAATGTCCACTATTGTGTAGTCAATTCGCGAACGGCGAACCTCTATCGTAGACAGACCCACAGGCGGCTCATGTGGGAGCACTCGAGTCAGGTGGATCCCCAGCTACTCTACAGACGTATGCACACGGCTCTCGGCCTCTGTATGTGATGTGATGTGATATGTGTATGCAGAGTGGCTGGATCAGCAGCGGATCGTCGAACCTATCAAGTACGCCGATTCTCGACTCTGTAGTTTGTCAAGCCGGCATTGCGTACTTCTATGCTCACTCTGGCGCTGACGGTCCTTTTTTTATTATGAAATTCGATTAGCCGGCGTAGAAGCTCGGCGTAGAAGCTCGGCAGAAGGGCCGCAACCCTACTCTTCGTACAGTCTTCGACGTTCGTGACGTTCGTCATATACGGGCCACGGGCCACGGTCCGCGGTCCACGGTCCACGGTCCACAAACCACTTTTCGTACTGTCTTCCCCATCCACACTTCTTCTTCCTTTCACATCACATAACAGCAATAATACAACATAATAAAACAATAATAAAACAACAAAACAATAACAACAACCAGGTCAACAACAACGAAAACCAGCGTCACCAAGAAGCTGATGAAAGAGCTCGCGGAGGTCCGGTGCATAGTGCGCGCGAGGATACCAACGTAAGTTCATGATTTCCTGACTTTCCGGCCTATACCCCGCGACACATTAACTACCCGACACCCTCAATGCTCCTGCAGGCTGTACAGGACTCTCAATGCTGACGGTGTCTTTTTTTAATAAAAAAAAAGTGCCAATGGATCCAAGATCTTTTTGCAACTTTACCAAAACACTTTGCCCGAATCCGAATCCGAACAATGAGTTGGAGAAGGCCGCACCAGATGCCCAATATGCACCCTAGTGGTGCTGCGGGCCGCGGCCACCACGGAAACTCTATCGCTGCCGGATACTAGTACATGGTGGCCGCGGATATAGGAGGTCCCCGGGGGGGGGCATTGGGGGGATTGGCGACATTGGCCTGCAGGGTGGCGCGGGGGGATGGAGCGTGGAAGGCTGAAGGCAAGGTACAAAGAAACAGAGAAGGGCTGGGGAGCTAGGCAAAAAAGACTGAGAGGGGGGCGTACTGGGAAGTTGGAGCAGGCGATGCTCACAGGAATGGAACTCATTTCGCTTCACGTTATCTAGAAAACTGAAGATTTGCGGTTCAGAGTGAGAGAGTGGTTGAGAGTGATATCTGGTGATGTTGGCGGGGCAGAGCTCGGTGGTCAGTTGATGGGCTTGAGTTGGCCGGTGTTGTGACATACGGATAGAACGACAGCGATAATTGATTCGAAACAGCAAAAGTATCATTAGCAGCGATGCCTCCCTCTTAATTAGGTGCCGCCTAAAGTTTGCCGCGTCACCACATGCTCGTCGACACTCGGTCGCGGCCGTCCACCCGTCCACCCGTCCACCGTCCACCGTCCACCGTCCACCACGAAACCTTATTTGTTCAAACGTCTCGGGGCGTCTTCGGGCGTCTAAAGTTTGATAGCCGGTGTGTAGGCAGGTTACGTAGGAGGTAGGTAGGCTTGAGTTGGAGAACCCGGTACCGGCCTCGCCGCGTTCGGGGAATCGGAGGACGAGTGGATGAAGGAGGAGTGGAAGGAGGAGGAGTGGATGAAGGTTAAGGTACTACCGGTAGTAGAGTGTAATGGGTGCACAAGGAGAGACCTCGTTGGGAGGAAACGCGGTGGTCATTGTACAGGACGACGATATCACACAGGTGACTGGAACGCATGGCAAAACACCGACAGCCCAGAGCTACTTACCCACCCATCTATATAGTACCTACATACTTAGGTATGGTAGACTAACCATGAACTATGACCCGCGTTGCAAAGAGGTGTCGCATGTCCTGTTGGATCTCTGGAGTCTGGACTCTGGAGTTTACACATTGGACAGAGCCACTCATGAACAATCACCCGTGCTGCGGAGATAATGTACCATGTAGATACCTGGATACATGTTACATGTCTTGTCGGATCTCTAAGCTTTGAGGGAAGCGGCGCAGACATGCTCGCTAGGTATGACATTACAGTGACTCGTGAGTACGATGCTGGGAGATTCGGAGGTCCCGTGTAAGAACCGACGGCCGCGTTGGGATAATGCACGGTAGGTATATAGGCGTTGCGCCGCAGATCCCCCCGAACCTACTATATCGGGTACACCGGCCGCCGGTGGGATAAATGGATTATGTACGCCGATTCTCGAGTACCTACTAGATAAGCCGGCACGTACTGGTATGCTCACTCTGGCTCTTGCGATCCTATGCACTTGGTTTTGTTGTGGAATTGAATTGGATTAGTCGGCATAGAAGCTCGAGGCAGAACCTCGGCATGGAAGCTCGGCGGAAGGGCCGCAACCCTACCCTCCGTACAGTCTTTGACGTTCGTGACGTTCGTCACACACGGGCCACGGCCACGGCCACGGTCCACAAACCACCCTTCGTACCGTCTTCCCTACCCACCACTTCTTCCTTCCTTCTTTCACATCTTTTACATTACAACAGC